ATAGGGGGGGGGGGGGGCGTGTTTATTATTAGGGGGACGGGATTATTAATATTGACTATTCTAGTTTGACGGTCTTTGCCACCAGCTTTTCGTGTTTAGGAATTCAGTTTTTCTCTTTCAAAACGTATAGACTTAATATCATGATCTATTGTTTGTTTTTGTTTCCTAAAGTTCCCAACAACATCACTTAGTGTCGATAGATCCCCTTTGATTTACAAAAAATCACTTCGGATCCGCATCGCATTTTATGGGATCCTCTGCAGCTTCCCCGTGATCACCGTGACCTCCGGGTGCCCCCACTCGACCGGAGGTTCAACCGAGACGTCGGTCGGTGAAGCGATCACCGAGACCGTCTCAGGCGCCGCCTCGGCGGAGCACGCCCGGTTTCGGCGTGTTGGAGCAAAGGACGCTGACATGGCCAAGGAAAAATGCAATAGGTTGTTGTTCTGCTTACAGTTTGTTTCCTTGCTTTTCTCCACGTCTCAACAAACATGAGTGCAACATGTTTTTCTAGAGCGCCTTGCCTGCACGCTTGATAATCTAGACCGCCGAGAAATTTTGGCACTTGTGGACAACAATTTGATACACTTATATACAATTTGTATCAATTTGTATATGTGCGGTACTCTTGACGTGGACACACTGTTGGATGGTATTTGCTGTATTGTGCGCAATGTGGGGTGGTGTTAACGTTCATGTGAACTTGCAAACGCAGTTGATGCCCGGTCGCAATCAACTGCGTCTGCAAGCTAAGTTCATGAAAGTGCACAAACAAACACCTATGACCTAGAACATCTCCCCAGTGGCCCTGAAGGAAATGAAGGTTAACTGTCAAAAGTACAGCAACTACCAAACGAACTTGTGGCTTGTGCCCAACAAGCGCCCAAGACCCCTAGTTACTGTTAGTTACTTATTACTTGGACCCACGACCCTAAAGACCTGCCCAAGACCCGCATCCCGGCCACCAAGTGGATCCGTGGATCTGCCCTCCCAGAGAATACAGCAGGTAAACAAAACACAGGGTGAAGCACCCTTGTAGATTGGTCATCGCAGCGCAGCTTGGTCCCACCTGCGTTTGAGGCTGCTCCTCGGTGCCTGCAGTGTGTGCTGATCAAGGGTTGTAGGGTGAGGAGGCCTCATGCTGCGCCACTGCGCACTCGTACACTCTAAGAGTGGGTATCAACATGAAGAGTATCCAAATGGTCTTTGCTCAAATCATCTCAAATTAACGTTTATACCACTAATTATATATGCTAACTGAACTGACCAAAACAAACATACCCACCATCTAGACTCCCAAACGATCCGGCCATGCAACGACCACATAACCACGACCAAAAAAGTCCCTGGAGACTGCCTGTCTCCGCAGAGGTGCGCGCTGCGTCGTCGACGCGAGCCGTGCTATTGCGGACGGCACTCAAGGTGGAGTGGCTATCCTGCGGGCGGGACACGAGGTGCTTTAGACTGCTACTAGCCGTCCAAGCAAAAGGCGTCCAGTGAGCACAAGTAGCCCATCGTCTCACTGTCATCCACTTTGGCACCAAGTGGGTTGGCCTCAAGCGCCTTCACATGGGTCATGATCGGATGCTGATCCATGATGGGGACAGCACCCAGGAGAGAACAAGCTAGACTAAACTAGATGGGTTCAGTCCAGCCTGAGCATTCAACACCCAACGGTGCTTGCTGATTGCTTCAGGAAACACCGCCAGGTAATTTCACCACATGTCCTCGTGCTGTGCCCCACACCCGGCCAATGGTGTGACAAGAACTATTCGGGGGAACAGCGATCAAGGTAGATCACTCACCTGGCACCAATGCTCTCGTTGGGTAGGGCTGGAAGCAGAAAAACGCACACACAAATCAAGTACTGTCAAAGAACATTCAGCACACGATGCTTAGGGCTCACGAAGTGACTCAGAGTTTGGTGCCCCTCAGCACGCGCGTTAAGACACGAACGATTCCAGGAGCACACGGTCGAGAATCTGGAAGGCATAGGAAGGCAATCAAACTGACTGATGTGTTTCCACTGTTTCCCTCACTCCCTCGCTGAAGCACCTGTCCCTGGCAAGCTTGTACCAGCACTAGAAAGAACTTCACACACAGTGTGTATCTTGCGCAAGCTTTCCATTTCTTTCGTTCTCATGTTTGCCTCGGATGAGTTCAACTTGGAAGGCGAACGATTCCATAACTCCCAGGGTCCACAAAAACCCATGTTAGAACATGGGACATGACCCTAGAAGAACATGGACTTGTACCCATATATTATGTGGTACAGTGAGACTCCAGTCCAGGTAGGGCGATTCTCTGAAACATCACGGAACCGAGCAACAGGCCTCCCCTTCTGGGAAACACGAGGTGCTTTAGACTGCCAAGGCAGCCCAAGCAAAAGGCGTCCAGTGAGCACAAGTAGCCCATCGTCTCACTGTCATCCACTTTGGCACCAAGTGGGTTGGCCTCAAGCGCCTTTACATGGGTCATGATCGGATGCTGACCCATGATGGGGACAGCACCCAGGAGAGAACAAGCTAGACTAAACTAGATGGGTTCAGTCCAGCCTGAGCACACCCAACGGTGCTTGCTGATTCTTCAGCACACACTGCCAGGTAATTTCACCACATGTCCTCGTGCTACGCCCCACACCCGGCCAATGGTGTGACAAGAACTATTCGGGGAAGCAGCGATCAAGGTGATCACCACTCACCCGGCACCAATGCTCTTGTTGGGTAGGGCTGGAAACAGAAGAAACAAAACACAGCAGAATGCATGTCAAAGAAGATTCAGCACACAGAATGCAGAGTCTGGTGCCCCTCGGCACATGCATTAAGTCACCAACGATGCCACGAGCACACGGTCGAGAATCTGGAAGGCATAGGAAGGCAATCAAACTGATTCCCTAGAAGTCGAACCACCCTTTGTTTAATAGCCTTTTATACCGAACAACCCGTGTTTTACAAGGTGGTTCACACTTCACAAGCCCAGGCGGTCCTGAAGACCACCCGGTCACCCCTCACGGAGTCGCCGACTCGACGTGGTTCAGGTGGGACTGGTTCCTCTCTGGAAAGGGGATCAGCCCTGAGGCAATCGCTCAAAGAGGACCTTGTAGCGAAAAGGAACACTTTTGTAGCAAATCTCTTCCATGTCAACTTGCCAGCTTTTGAAAACGTGCTTTCGGGCTTCACATCCACTCACCTATTGGGGATCTACATGCCGCCCCCAAGCTGAACTCATGATGGGGAGTTCATCCCAGCACCCAAGCTGAACCAATCATGGGTCCGAAGCAGCTGTGCTGTAGTGCTGTGCAAATTGTGACACGAAACGCCAAAGGGGAACGGTGGTTTCCAGTGGTTCCCAAAATGAGGTCCTTGTCGAAATTGTTATAAGGTGCGTTGGTTTGGCCAAAAATGCCCTATGTGGGTTGTACACTTGACTTGGGGGATCTTGCGGGTATATCATCCTCTTTGTCAATCTAAAACACATTTAAACACCTAATAGCAAAAGGCCATCTACCAGCAGTCACAAAGGGGTGGTGTTTAGTCCCTAAGTGAGTGGATAATGGGCACCCTACCCTCCATTAAGCACCCCTTTGTGACTGCTGGTATAGGTTCCAAGATGTCCCAAGTTCCCTTGTTTTTTCACGGTCTTGGACCGGAGAGGAATCCCAAACCTGACGGTCGATGCGATCACTGCTGGCACATGGCGACACCCCGATGTCGCCCCGTCGTCGCGAGGAAAGACCGGAGCCGGTGAGGCCCTATTTGACTAGTAACAAGAAGCAACAAGTGCATCGCTAGTAGTAACAAGGGCATTACTACAATAGTAGCTTCGGGTATCTAATAGCGATGCACTTGTTACAAGTAGCTTCTTGTTACTAGTAGCCCGTTTTCGCCGTCCTCGAGGTAGTGCAGCATTTGCTGCACCCCCGCCACGACATCCTGGGCAGCGCGTCTGGGAGGAGAGAACCTCAGGTACCCGCGTCTAATGACGCTCAACTTACTCAGTCGGTTTGACAATTTACAACAAGTTAGCGAGAAAGTGTAAATTCTTTAGGAGTCCTTCTGGCTACTGTAGCAGAGAAACATAGAGATTACAGACTCTTCTAGTTATGGTTGGGGCTTTGCGTGACAAAGTTACTGTTTTAAGGGATAACCCGTCGTTTTGACCCATACCTACACAGGCAAACCTGAAAACATGAAACAGGGCTATCATAGGCAAAGTGTGCGGGTCTACGCCTGTTGTGTAGTGCAAGTGGTTGTTCGACTCACGATTGCTTCTTTGCTATCTTTGCAACAACAAAGCACTTGCTTGCTGCATAAAGGCCCCTTCAGTCACAAGCCCTGCATCTTCATTATGATGTTGACATCTAGCGTGGTTTGCATGGAAACATCATGTGTCTGCATTTCTATAAAGTTGGTGTTTGTCAGACTCTAGCGGTGTGGTGCTGATCGTTCTATCTGACGATAATCGGAAACTCAAAGCTATCGGATGCAGTTTTGTATGCTTTTGCCCTCCTTCAAAGTTCTGCAGTACACAAATAATGCTGAGTTCATTTGTGCGGCTTCCTGTCAATCTGCCATAATCCTTCGTGAAACCATCAGAAGAAACTTCCCGTCTTCCAGTCGGGTCGTATATATATCAATATCAGTTGACAAAAATACATCATATCACCTGATATGAAAACACTATTGTCAGTGATATTTTCATACCAACAACGTGTGCAGTATGCGTACGAACCTCAACATACCCTATGAAGTCCCTATGAATTCTTCGAATGATATGTCTACATCTGCCCTGGTCACCACCGGACCTGGCCTGAATCTGCAGCCAACGCGACCTCAGCGGTAAAGGACAAGTCCAAGGCGTTCTTGGTCAGGATTCCAGTTAAAACAACATATAAATTAGATGCATCTACAGGAATCCGTAGATTCTGGGACGGGCCGCACTCAAAAGAACGACTGCGCAAGCTCCCCACACTGGTCATGGGCCTTTTTGCCGCGTGAATGGATCTGTTGAGAGACATAGCGCCCGACTTTGCAAGAGCAATACACATTTGGATAAATTTGGTGTTTACCTAAAACAACATGCAGCATGATCCAACAGCTGGAGCCGGTGAGATCCACTTGAACTTGCTCCTGCACACTTTACGGAAACGGACTGGGAAACGCGTTGGGACCCAGCGTGCTTCTTTCTCCCATGTCCAGTAAACCTCCCAAGTTCACCAACCCTGAAAATGGCTGCTTTGTTCGTCACAAGGCGCAGTGTGGGTTTCAGTTCGTTACACTCACATCTCAAAGTATTAGGACGCTACTAGGGAGGCCATCGCAAGTAGGTTGGAGGCCATCGCTACTAGTAACAAGGGAATGTTATGGCATGGCCGACCATGCATGGCCCTTCTTTCAGAGGCTCGTGAGGCTCGTGAGGCCGGGCCCGCTCTTCTGTCGGGCTCAACTTGAGTGCCGATCTCTGCCAAGGCACTGTAAACTTCGAACCACGCGTTCCAGCTCGGCGGCCTGGTCAGGCCGGATCGATCGGCCGAAAAGAAGGTTGGAGACGCGACGGCTGGTCCGGCCACGTGCGCGGCAGTGGAACATGGAAGCCCGTTCGGTGAAAAGAGTCTTTGTCTTCCAAGTGCCCTATGAGGGCCTGAGGGCACATGCAGTGAGCTGGATCCTGTTCACAAGCAGAAGGACATGACCAACTGTCGCATGGTGTTTTGAAAGCAGCATGATGCTGAAAGAAAGACACAATAAGAGAACATAGACAGGCTTACTATACTCATTACATCTCATTACCATGGGGTAAAACATAGTAGAAACAGAACCAGTAAGACCTTTTCAGACCCGCTCGGATGGTTCGGAGGTTCTACTCTTTTGAACATGCTGAATTTCTCTGGATCCTTAAAGAGTTCGACAATCATCAGGTGATGGTCACCTACATTCACCTAGAAATTCCCATTCATGCAGGAACTCTCAGAATTCTTGGATCTCAAAGAGTTGGATTAAACAATCGAACAGAATACCCCGCTGAAGACTAACATGGACCCTGAAAGCCACTGGTTGGTAAAGGAAAACAGGAAAACAGTGCCATTCTCCGAAATCCATATGAGTTTTTGGGAGTGTATGCTGGAGATTGATCCATCTCATTCTCTCTGACGTTCTCCGTTCAATCGCTCAGCCCGACCACTTCGCCACACCCACCTGTTCGGGCAAGCGCTGTGGATTAGGCCTCACATGAGCGACTAAGGCACCGAAACCCACCCGGCCCCGCACCGAAAAGTTTGGTTAACACAGGTGGTGTAGGAGGTGTTTTATTCACAAGTCGACTCCCTAAGGGTGTAATGGCAAAAGTTAAGAATCAGATTGAATGGCGGCCCATGCACAGGCTGTAAGGTGAGCGTCCTGGAGAGCCAATCCTCGCTTCTGGGCTGCCAGGATGGGACATCTTTGAAGCGAAGAAGAACGATATTACATAGTGCAGCTGTGGTGTGTGGGAAAGTCCGGGAACGTATCCTTCAATTGTTGCGAAGTGGACAAATCCTTGAAATGCTCATGAGTTAGCTCGCATACCGGCCAGCTACAACAACAAAAAGCTGCCCACGGACAGGCTGTAGAACACAGGGTGCCGCTCTGTACCAGACTTTGCATCATAATTTAACACAATTTGGGTGGATGATGATGACGATGATGACGACGACGCCGACGACGACGACCACGAGTAAAGGCCGCTCTCAAAGTTAGTGATAATTGCTTAATGACTGTTATAGGCAATGGGACAGACCCAAAGCATAGTGAGACGGGAATACTTGGCTTACAAGATCTTGCAACACAAATTGCGAACAAAGGACTGCCAAGGTGTCCCTGAGAAAGCATCCAGGGCACACCAGAAACTGTTGCAGAAAGGCAGTTTCTCCACCAAACCCCATAGCCATAGTCGGATCAAAGCAAGCTGATCCAAAAGCATGAAGACTTCCAACCACTGTGTTTCGAGCCATTTGCATTCGGCAAAAAAACTGAGCTCAAATCCCTCAGGGTTGTATAAAGTTCAACAAAACCCACAAGAGTAGGGCCAGTACAGTACGTACCCTGCAGGGAAGAACAGCGAATCCGACCCCCAATGCCCCAGGTACCCCAGGGTCGACAGGCACCGCACTGCTCGACCGGTCGGTCTTCTTCCTGCTCGACAGGTCGACCGCCCCCGACAGCCGAACCCACGACGAGTTCGTTGGCTTCCAGGTGCAGGAGAGTAGCTGAGTTCGTGGTTGACACGTGGAGAGAATGACACAAACCCCTATTAAAGGTCTCTAAAATAGATGGAGGTCTATACAAACCACCGTTGGGGGATTGTGCCATCTACGTTCCATTCACCGTAATACAATAGACTAACAGGTGATGCTTCATGTTCCTTTCCTTTGATCCATGCCCCCTCATGGAAGACACTCGTGCCGAAACTGACGATAGTGCTTGGCAGTTTAGACGTTGCATTTGGCATTCCCCAGTTGTGACGTATTGAATATGGTTTCTTGGTTGGTGTCAGTTTGTCAGCAAAAGATCTAAACGTGGCCCTATCTAGTGTGTTCTTTTCATGTCAAAGACTGTGCTGAACCCACCACGGAGCCATCGGACCCTGTAATTGGCTCCTGTGCCTGCTCACTGGTGGCCGGCCTGGCGAACAAACATAACACGGTGCAAAAGGGCAGCAAAACAGGCGGGGGCGTGTCTTCAGCAACAAAACGCAGGAGATTTGGGTTACGTTGATAAGCACGTGACGTGTGAAGTTAAATGTTGAAGTGTCCTCAATGGCGTTCCTGCTGCAGTGGAAGGAAAAAGGGCCTTCACCAGCTCAAGCAAGCAAGAACAGAATACTTGGCCTACTACCCTGCGATACACAAACATAAGCGAGTGCCTCGGATGTTACAGCTAGTGCAGCTAGTGCGGTCGCTCTGGTGCAGGATACAACAATTAATACATCCGGAAAGACCATCCCAGAGCTCACAAACATCAGCATGAGGCATCTCTGACTTGCCTGGCTTCTTCTGCGGTGTCAGCGACCAACCCCTCCTCAGAGACAAAGATCGGCACGATGTTCCAGTGCATTGGATCATACCCCTGGGCCCCAAAATACCTTTGAACAAGTAACTTCGAGCCACACATGTTTGGGGAAGAACATGCTTGAACAAAAGCCACCCACGCACTCACACACCCACTCACACACACACATGCCTCTGCTTCAAAGCCAACCTTTTGAAGTCCCTCAAGTGACCTTTTACGGGCCAAGTGACCTCATCCTGGTAACTCAAAAGCCACACACACACATGTTCGACTCATTGCCACTTGGACAGATCCACGGACAACTGGAAAAACCACACTTGGAAGCTTGGGTGTTTGGAATGTCTTTGCTCCTCTATGTTTATGGGTCTCAAACTGTCCACAAACATGGTTCAAAACACACGACCTTCTCTCAGCTTGGCCACCCCGGAATCGGCCGGTTGTATTGTGATCTCACCTGTGGCGGTCGCGTAGAGGTGCGAAGTGCTCGGACTGGACGGTGGGGCGCGACCGCTGCTTGAACGAGTTGTTTGGCCCAAACGATCCATGTATGGAACATTGGGGGGTGCTTTTCAGTTGTTTGAAGGGTCAATGCATGTCAATGCCATCCATGGGACTGGAACAGGAATAGTATGGAATAGTGTTAAGTGTTAAGTACATTTTATATCATTTTGCCCCCATGTAACCGCAATGCAATCAATTAATCAATTCAGTCCCATGGATGGCTTGGGCTCGAACAAGTTGCCCAAAACGTTGCCTGGGATGCTTGCGGTGGTTGCGTCTTCATGAGGCAAAAACACACCGGGTCTTATTGCACATCTAAATAATGCTACATGCATCTACACTGCATCCAAAACATTTACAGTATATGGCTGCCCATGTACTGTACGTATTGTTTCTTTTGGGTTTGTTGGACACATATCGACCTGGCAACCCTGGCAACTGTCATCACCCACCAGTTGGTGACCTCAAATCTGGGAACACTATGTTGGGAGGGAGGAAGTCCTTACTTATTATATATCTTTCAAGCACCTCTAGCAAACCATCCATGTTTGTATCACAGAACCTATCATCCAACAAACATGCAAGTGCACCTCATCCGTAGAGAAACGATCAGACATGTACAAAACGCTAGCTTCAAAGCACCATGACACCCCTCTTCCATGCCTGTAAAACCAAAGCTTCGGGTAAGTTCTCCCATCCCCTTACGCACCTCATTTGGGCCCAAAACGAACCCAAAAAACCACTGGAAGAGACTGCGAGGGAACCAACTGGGCACCCCGACCGACGGGTGCCGGAGCGACCTGAAACCGGAGGGGCGCCGGAGCACGTGCGACAAGGAGCTCGACCGGCATCCGGCTGCCTTTCGGTGGCTCCAAAAATGTGGGATTCATCGTACGGTCCTAAAAAATTTTTTGAACTCAAAGATATCAAACTTGCGACAACTTTTGTTTAGGTTCACTGTCACTCCGCTGCTTTTCCAAGATCCTTGCCAACCAAAGCTTGATAACATATGATGGTTCGTCTTCGTTGCTCATCCCTTTGGTCCACGTGCGGAGACGTCCCGTGCGTCGTTCAATGAAACGGACGCTATGCTCGGTGGAGGCCATCGCTATTTTAGGTTGGAGGCCATCGGTACGAACGTAACAAGAAGCTACTAGTAACAAGACTAGCGCCCATGCAAAAAAATAGAAAAAAACATCTGTTGACAAGGTGTGTTTACATGTGGACACCCAAAGGAGTTGCTTCATGTTGTTTCATGGACATCTCCCAAGCACAAATACTTCCCACCAACAACAACATCTTCCGATATCTTGCAAAACAAGATACTTCATCCGAGCGGTCCATTGCTGCTGCTTGATCTCGTTCCATGCGTTCCTCAGCTTCACGACAGTTTGGACAAGATAGCTCCTCACTGTATTTGCACGTTGATTCAACATGGCCTAGTAACCTAGTACAAGTCACATAATATCACACAATTACTGTAGATGAACAAGTTCTCGTGCACTACCTGGAGAATAGTGATTGGTATACAGGGGCACATCATGTGAGCACATTTAGCAAATTGTCTTCAGTCCGACTCTGACGACTCTTGCCAAACAAAAAGCGGATCGCCCATCCCTAAAATATCTGGCTGTCGACCTTCATCACTTCACACGATTCTTTACCCTAAGGGTCCATCCATGACCATCCTCAGGAGGTACCTGGACCCTACAGTATGGGTTAAGCTTGGATGAGGGACTCCAGATCCCAATCCTTCTCAAACGACACTTGCATCGTGACCTCAGCCGGCCAAGGGGCCATGATGTCGATGGGCGTCTTGCAAATGGGGCACTGCTTATCCAGCACCAGGTGTCTGCACCGGTGGGGCGTCCGCTGTCCGTTCGCGCCCGTCCGGAACAGAGTTCGTGGCCCGGTGCAGCTTATGAAAGCAAAGGTCAAAAGGTTTGAATTGCTGAGAGAACTTAGTGATGTGTGAAGACGACACACACACACAACACAAACACAAACACACACGTCATGTGTTCTTGAATATTCTTAAACACTTGAACATACGACCTGAGTGCACTTCCAATACATTCCTCATTCACTGGAGTCTGGTGCCACGTTGGGCATGTATAGGCTGCGCCTGTCGATGTTACAATGGCGGCTCTGTGAAGAGGACTCTCCACCTGAGTGGGAACCGACCGAGCGATTGGAGGCGGTCCCGGTGAAGACCTCAGGCTACGTCATATGGTACCTGACTAGTGACCAGGGAGGGCCATTTTGAACGCCAACTCTATATGATCTGTATTGTGCCGCTCAGTCTGTAGCTAGTTGGACCAATTGTACATCTACAGAGTTACCAGTCCAACCCGGCGAAACCTCGCTTTCACCATGGGTTGAATCTGCTGGGAAACTCAACCACTTGGACCATCAGCTCGCTTCTCTTTTGTGCGTGGTTTCAGGCGGGTCAAACGCCACACGTGAGCCGCTGCTCAGTGCCAGGCCCACCACGTGAAACAGGTGCATGCATGGCAGGCGTCGGACCTGGCCGCCTCTTAGTGCACAAGAACAAGAACTGGTAAAGGAAGAAATCTGGAAGAAACATGAAAAAACTGTGGTAGGGGAACATACAGTCACTCTCACTTAGTGATTGTCATCTTTTGTCATTTCCAATTTCGATGTATTGTTCACAAAAAAAACAAGGATTTGCCATCAAATTGCGTTGTCACATGTTGACTTAGTGGGTCCCATAATGTCAATTCCCTCCGTGTTTCCCCCATGCTGTGCCGGGCGTGCCTTGTCGCCGACTTGAAAGTTCTCCAGGCAAATGGGGCAAGCCTCTCGTCCAAGGCGGTGCTCAGTGCTCACAAACAAATGTTTCCACGGGCCCGCGAGTCACTTAGGTGGCAAACCCACGACGAGCAAGGCTGCATCACCTGACGATCTCACAGGGTTTTTAGTTTGGTCCCTGCCCAGAACCCAGCAAGTCATGGAGTCATTCAGAGTTGTTCCTGTTATGTTTCAAGAAGAGACGTTTTTCAATGGGATGCCGACCGAAGTTGTGAGGCAAACAAGGAACATGACAAAAAAACACATGTTGTAAATTTGCCATTGGCCCGCGATTGGTCAAAGGCACAGACCTTCAGAACAGTTGGGTGTCTACATTGGGTAACGGCAAGTCAAAATTTCATTTTTGTACGTAACCTAGCAAGACTTGTAGAATGTAGAACTCAGAAAAACTACTGTCGCGGGGGTTCGTCTCCAATATCTTCTGTGGAGGCTTTTGGTAGCCGCAACAATAACCACCTCTGGAGTTCATACATTTGTTTTCATTTTGCTGTCATCCTGCTGTCATTTGCTTTCATCCTGCTTTCACTTGCTTTCAATCGGCTTTCATTCTGCTGCCCTTTTTCTGGGAGCTGAAGTATATAAATATGGATCTTGACTAACAACTAATACATATTAATACACCTCACAAGCCATGATTTGCAGCCTCAAAACCAATGCAATCTCGATTTTGGGGTTCTACAACTATTAGGGGTGACCTGCTCATTACGAGTTAAACATTAGCGATGTTGCGCAAATTGAAACTTGTACTCTACTTCGAGTGATCCCCACAATGACATTTGAATCATTTCAACTGTTTCATGCCATTGTGGGGCGCATGTTGCCATGGTTGGGGCTTTGTGCTTCTCGATTTTGCTTTTGGGTCCTCAGGTGTGGGGTTGTTGCTCTAGTGTTTAGTGTTGGGGAGTTCGCGTCAGAGTATCGCCACGGTCTACAGTTGGCATCCAAAAGTGCAACCCTGTCACCACCTGCCACGCAAAATGCCACACACACAAAGGTAGTTGTGTTATACTATGTTTGTGGTTGTATTGTGGGTTGTGTGTGTTGTGGTCCGAGAGTGCCCACTGCGATCTGGCGCTTGCTGTTCTTGCTGTTGAGATCCGGGAGTGCACACTGCGATCTGGCTGCTCTTGCTGTTGAGGTTCGGGCGTGTCCACTGCAATCTGAACTTGCTGTTGACGTCCGGGAGTGCCCACTGGAGCTTGCTGTTCAGGAGTGCCCACTGCGATCTGGCGCTTGCTGTTAAGGTCCGGGCGTGCCCACTGCGATCTGACGCTTGCTGTTGAGGTCCCGGAGTGCCCACTGCGATCTTGCGCTTGCTGTTGATGTCCGGGAACCCAGGAGTGCCCGCTGCGATCTGGCACCTGCTGCAGGGAGGGCCTACCGTGCTCCGAGAAGCTGCAGCCCCTCTATTAAAGAAATCTAACAACACAGAGCTTAGCATGGACTAGACAAAAATGCATATTTCATGTTTGAGGGATGACTACAGAGAGGCGCGCGGGCGCACAATTTTATCCAAAGGATCAAATCATGACCCGCACCAAAAAGTCAAAGTACAATGTTCACAGGTATAAAATCGAGTCCCCAGGTGAAATTGAATAAGCAGTCATCAAATTAAGCAGTCATCAAATGAGCAAATCAAAAATAGTCCCAGCGGCTGCGATTGGGAAAGGATCCTGTTGCTCGACAGGTGGCGTCCTTCCTCCATCTTTTCCTGGCAGCACTTGTAGCCCAGAAGAGTCTCAGAGTAGGCAAAGAGGCGCTGAGTTGGTTGTCGTCGCCTTGAACGCGCGTCTTGACAGCAGTTCCCATTTTGGTGATGCCCTTACATGCGTACTTGATCAGGTCCTGGACATTGTCGCGCTTGTCAAGGGCAGAGTGACAAACAGTGCCAGGAAGTTGGTGGTCTCCCTGAGCAGAATATTCTAAGGAACTCTGTGCGAATAGGCCTTGAATTGGATGGCAAGCGGCTAAGCCAAGAACCGCAGTAGCATCACTCACAGGATGGGGACGATGCGCCATGCAAGGACAGGCAGTTGATTGTCTCCCGACTAAGAGCATCTCTCTAAGCCTTGGCCTTGATTTGGTTCTCCCGCAAAGCAAAACAGGTCAATAGTCTCATAAAACACCATTCAAAGAGGGAGAGGGTCTTACTGCATGTTTGGAACTTTGGCATGTTACAAGCAGAGACTTGGGCATCTGTTTCATGATTTTTTGCCTGATCCTGCCAGGACCTAAGTGGCCTCTATGTGATGATGCTGATCTCGAAGAGATAAAACAAGGGCCTGACTTCCGACATAGGCGATGTACACGCTAAACTTGATCATTTCAATATGCAATCGTTTAAACAGCAATATTTCGGACTTGCAGCGGTTGGATTGGATTGGCTTTGATTAAATTTGACAGAATCAACAATCAAATCATAGCCAGCAAAAGATTTGCCAAAATCAAATTGGCATAAAACGCACAAGCTATAGCAAAACTTAGCAAAAACACATCAATATCAACCTTTAGCTAACATTAGTACTGGTGGGCGCTGTAACATTGCTTAAGCTTAACTGGCTTAACTGCAACCTAAGTTTCATGAATCATAGATAGATCTGGGACACTTGCACTTGGACAAACACTTGGACGGTAGCCGCTTACTTTCTTAACCACCACATATCACATACATCGTAGCAACACTTGGTAAGTTATGAAACTATCAAAAGGATCCTCTCAGTTGGGTGAATCCGTATATTATACCGAACTGTCCCTCCCTGCAAGACACTTTAGCTAAGGGCATGTAGGACTGCTTTATTCCGCCTGCAGGAGCTTTTACTACAAATCAGGTGAGTTCAGGGACGGCAGTGAGCCAAGACCAATTCGTCAGGTGGCATACGGCACACATTCCACATGCAAGGGCCTCCTGCTGCAAATTCGAGTCCTCCTCCTGCACAGCCACCGTCAAGGTATTCTCCTTAGCACGGTCTCAACACACCCTTGAGCATTGTGATGACCGACGCACACTGCATCTCCCATACTCCTGCTTTCGGAGGGCCAAGAGGCTCTCTTCCAGCATACTTGGACTGCCACCAAGAACGTTGTTGGTAGACGTTGCTGGTGTCAATCTCACAACCAACCTGCTCACAGACTCAATTGTTTCATTGTTGCTGTCTGATTGGTCCGGGTGAAGCTAACAAACAATAGTGAGGCTGCCTTTGCCCGTCCATAGGCCCTAGACCAACTCCAAGCAACCACTATTGTGAGAAGACCCTCCAAAAATCTCCAAAAGACACTGTAGAAAGTAGTCACCCTGGCAGGCACTTGGTGCTTTAGACAACAATGGTCATTTCCAATGTCGTTTCCTTTAAGAAGATGGTCGCTTTCAGTTTTCCACACCCCGCCCTCTATGTCTCCCGGACGACGATCATGGCGTGGGTGGCGAAGGGCAGTTCTCGGGGTGCCACAATGTGCATGACCTGGGCCGTCGATCAGCAAGAGCTAAGAAGCTATTAGGGGCTCCTGGCATCGCTACTAGGAGCAAGGACGCTACGATCGGGGCTCCTGGCCGTACTACTAGGAGCAAGAAGCTATTAGTAACAAGAAGCTACTAGTAACAAGTGCATCGCTACTAGTAACAAGTGCCTTACTACTAGTAACAAGAAGCTAGTAGAAACGTGAGGGACGTCATCATCGCCCGCTCTGACCGAATGATATAAGGGAGTAAGCGCGACTCTGGACCCTCCCAGATGGATGTTTACACTGAGAACCTGTTAACCCACATGTGGTCTGGAGCTGCAACACCGTCCATGTCTTAGTGGTGGTTTCACACGGGTTCACGGTTTGACAGTGGGGCCAAGACTGCAACCTAGCGGTCGACTCTAAGCTGTCAGCTTTTTTTGCCAAAAAATAAAGGCATTGAGGTTTTTCAGGGCTGTCAGCCTATAGGCACTGTACATTACTGCGCTCCGCACTCCAGGAACAGTTATGAATGGAAACTACCCTCCTGCAAAACAACATAGAACCTGAGAATTGACCCGTGGAAGAAGACCATTTTCCTCTAACCGGCCTCTACAACCCAGTGGTTTTGGGGTTCCATGTGCCAACCCATCCAGCCAACTGAAATCACTCAACTCAACTGGCGCGTTGCTCTCCCAAAAGAGGGCAAACGCGCGCGTTTGATCAGATTTGCATAAAACGACTCTCCCCTGCCACAATGAGGAAGCTTCGTCAGCTATCGCACAATATCATGAACTGTTCTATAGAAAAGGCATGTCATGTTTAGCAAACTCTGTGAACTGCATGAAGTACTGGGCAGCCGGCGCAAGCAACCATTGATGTGTACCACATGCGCAGGATGAGCGTCAGCATGTGGACGCCTCGAAAATGGTTTCAGATCGTATATAGAGGCACAAACCCCGACATGTCCTTTTAGGTCTACATAACCCCCTTTGGGGGATTGTGCCATCTACTCTCAATCCACTAAAATAGAACTGCACAAAGTCTTAAGCTTGGATATCTCACAGCGGTGCATCTTATACCCCAGGCAAAAGGACACCCCACAAAAGAAGCAACACAAAACGTTGGGACTTTCCATGTATCCTGGCTTGGTGTCTTTTCCCATGCAAAACCTGCAATGAGCTTTTAGAGCACCCTCTTAAAGGTAAGAAGCCCAGGAGAGATCTCCATATAGCCAACATATTAGTTTCGGGCCAACGGATTTGTTGTCTCTTTTTGCTGAGGCAAACCCAGCATGATAGTGTATGAATATTGTAAGGAACATGGAGATTCTATCGAACTGGGCCTGCAATCAATCTGGAGAACGGATGTGGAGAACTGGGCATGCCAACATCCGGAATGCATGTGTCAGAATGCCGGACTTGTTGTGAACGCATGTTCTAATCCCTTCAGTTTCCCAAGAGAGCAACCGTTGGCCTTTAGTGTTTTGGCTGTTCATGTTCAGACAACATAACTACCTCCGAGCTGTGGTAAACCTTCAATGTACTGCATGAAAGGTCTCTGGCAATCTCTGGCAGGGCAGTCCTTTCTGGCACTAGTGCCAAGGGTATGGCCACGAATATCTACCAGTCCTCTGGGTTTGGAGATCTTTCGCAGAAAACAAACAATGGCAAGCCGCGAAGCCTGCCGCGTGGGGAAGCTGAACGGGACACAGCAAGTCGTATTCCAGCGTGAAGACCTCAGTCATTGCGAAGGTGATTTACACCACCACGAAGTCGAGGTGATTTTGACATATGCAAAACATAGGGGTAGTAATTCCACTACCCCCCTCTCAGGGGTGGTCATTTTTATAGACCCCCGAGGGTCCATGTATAGAGGAAATGCAATGGCCCTATTGTATCTATTGTAAAACCGGCTTCATGGATAAAACATGATTGAACAGTCACTAGCTCCGGAATGTTCACTTACTTAAGTATACTTAAGTCTGATCTGTGCTGATTCTCGTTGGGATCTAGCCACTCAAGAATATGTGCCCAAAAGATTCCCTGCATGGGTATCCGGTCAACGAGCATTTAAGAGGCAATCCTTCAACAATCACTACAGTCACTAGTAGATGTGGGATTCTGATTGATGAATTAAACAACAGATTGTTCCTTTAGAGCCTTAGAGGCCAGGAGACACCACATGACACCAGGCATCTTCGCCTAGCCCTGCCAAGTTTGACTTTATTCAACCACATTGAATTGGTATTCCCCGCGTGTCGAAATGTGGGATTGGATTTGCCGGTAAAATCAATGGGATACGAAGCCGATCGCTTTCGTGTGGGCTGCGAAGCCGAAGTTTGACTCACAACATCCCACAACCACCGCTTCAAGGTACCGGACTTCTCAAAATGGTCGCACAAAAAGGCCAAACACTGGCCAAATATGACTGACCATAGTCAATGCAAAAAGCCACATGCACGTTTGCTTGATGTGTCCACACGAACAATTCAGCGAGCCAAGCCAACAAATATAGTACATCAACTCCACCTTGCCTGGATCTGTCACTGGATCGAGCGGTGCCCCTTGCGTGACCTGTTACATTCCCGGGGAACGCTCTGCTTGGCGCTAATATACGACAGCTGTCCTGGAGCAAGGAAAAACCACCATCAGCAACGCATATCCCGGATGGATATGAGCAAAAGGGCTTCATCTCACAGCTGGTCACCTGGTTCTTAAAACCAGTAGCGTTCGGATGCTATGCTCGGTGGAGGCCATCGCAAGTAGGTTGGAGGTCATCGCTACGAACGTAACAAGAAGCTAACTAGTAGCAAAATTCTTCTTCTTCACATTGCTTCATTTCGCCCATGATGAAACGAGCTCCCGGGCGTTGGTTCTCCCACGGTCACTCGATCCACATTTCAATCGGGTGTACCTGGTCCATGCGGCCGGTCGTCCGTGCCGTGGTCAAACAGTAAGAGACTCCAACCCCAACACCCCTGACCTGGTTAACCCTTTCTGTACCCCACCCCCTGGTGCGCCCGGGATCGGGCCTCCAACCTACTCTTCCCGATCCGCCGAACACAGCCCTTAATACGAAAAGAGACGGGGATCAGGGATCTATTTCAGCGCCATTGACTTGCTCATCGTTTCTTAAACAAACAGGCTTACATACATACGACGGGCAATGTACACATCATGTACTGCAGTCAAACTGTTCTCACCTGTCCAAACCTCCTATGGGCAAGTCAAAGTGGAGTGCTTATCCTTCCGGGCTCGTGCAGTCGTGCATAACTAGCGGTCTGTTGCTGTGTCAGGCGCCTATTCCCTACAGCGGATGCGTGTCTCGCATGATGTACCAAGTGGTTGCAAACATATACAAGTAATATATAAGCTGGATATCTTTTTGGCATGGGGACTAGAGTCGCTGCCTGGATGGGACATACAACTTACTTCTGATACTCTACAACATATTGTATGAGCGATCCAAAGGAACATAATGCATATATATATATATAATTGCTCAATTCTCCTATAGCTACACTCCCTCCAGCCAACAAGATGGAAATCCAGGCCACACACAAAAGGACTTTTGCACAGAACACATGCTTTAAATTAAACAACATATAATATATAATAACAACATATCAAAAAACATTCATGGGTCTTTTGAGCTCCCCCTGCGTTCTCTGCCGCGCTGCCGAGTCTTTGACACCTGTGAGGAGACGCTCGTGGCCTAATTCCTAGTCGCCCGCCAGCACTCAAAGCGCAGTTCGTCTGTTTCGCGCCGGCGACGGACTGGCAGCAATGGCATTGTGGAACTTCGGATCTGTCAGCTGCAGTGAGAGAACAAAGCAAATGTACAAGTCGTAGTTGAAGGTTGGTATACACCAAACCAGTCAGGAGGTATTAAAAGTAGTATAACAGGCCAGGTACGACCAGCATCAACCAGGCCTTATCAAGGCTGTACTACTAGACTCTGCTATAGCATCCTATGATTCAAATTTTTGTTCCCACTCTCAGCACCAGTTCTTCTTGCTTGGTTCGTAGGTTGCATGCTCGGATAGAGTCAGTAGAGAGATAGTCTCTGGGAGCTCCATCCTTGCCTCTTCAAACCGTTCCGACACTTGCCCTACAAAGGCAAACAGCTCACCACACCAACAGGCCGTGATGTTATGTCAAACAATAAGCGAAAGACCTAGAGGTCGACTCTTAATTAAGAAAACCTTTTCCATTCAAATTGTAAACACCTCTTCAGGCTTGGGGGGTGAAATATCATCAAGGCACTACATTCTATGTTTCCCAAACTCCACAACGTCTAGGAGTCTAGGGACTCATTGTGAGCTTGTACCTCTTGCAACTGTCAAACAACTCTTCAAACAGGACAACAACAATCCACAACCCAAGGGGTCTGATCTTGGCACTGTCCAAATGCTGCCGTCGGCCAAGGAAGCAGCTTCATCCTCCAGGCCAAAAAACATCGAATTCGGCAAATCGACCTTGGTCAAGATTGCAGTTGGTGGGTTCTCTAATAGATTTTATGGTATACAAGATATCTACATCCGGCCGCCCCTGCTTGGCCCTGCTCGACACTAGCTCGGATGCTCGACACCAGCTCGGTCTTGAACGAATCCTAGGTCCGCATCCTGTGGCACCGAACTTCACAGCAACAGAATGACATGTATAGGGACTCCATTTGGAACAGTGCGTCCACCTCTGCAGCCCTGGACCCAGGACCCGCGCTCACGCCAGCGGTCGCTTTCGTAGGACCTGCAAGGCGGAGAGCCCAAGGGTCGCACCGACCCCTCGGAGGCGGCCAGGCTCTTGCTGATCGTGATTGGGACAAGCCATCCAAATGAATACCCTCCCTGAAACAATGGAAAGTGGATAAAACCCTCCTGTTAGTAGAGGAAACACAGTCTTCCAAGGGGCCATGTCATCCACTTCCGTGTTAGTTCCAGGGAGTGTATGAGATTCCCAGATTTGAACCCTCATGACTCATGACATGAGGGTACTGACAAAGTTTCTTGGCTTGTCACGGTCCCAGCCTTAACAACTTTAAAACATTCGATGGTGAAGCTCCCAAATTACAGGGAAACATATGAATCATCATCATCATCAACATCATCATTATCATCATCATCATCACCATCACAAGACAATGTCAGTGAAGTTGCTCCACCCACCAGCGCGACAGAGAAAAAAGGAGCAGAACCCTCAAGGAAAAAGGTCTGTGACTACTGATCAGCCAGTGCATCCCAAGACAAACAAAATAAACATATATAACAATAGATGTTATTAACCTTACGACTTGTATATTTCGAGTGATCCCCACCCTAAAATCGAGCAACCCTCACCTGACAGGTGGGAAAACCGACATGAACCGACCAAACCATCCCATCATCCGTGCCTTGGCCCGTTCTCGTGCATGCCGTAGTCGTTGGCTTTGGTCCATCTCCACTTTACGCAGAAAATCCTGTCGGACGGCAAACGATGACCACGTCTACTTTCTGCGCGCAGTGAAGAACTATGTATTATAATTGATTGTGTTTGGATTTTAGGGCCAATCTTTCCGAACAATGCACGGAAGAGGGTGTCGGTGACTGTCTCGTTTGCCCCTCCAAACAGGACACCAGGGATGGGCCAATCTTCCAGCACTTCGGGAACCCACAACAAATAATCCAAAAGATTGTTCATGATACGTTCTTGAACTGAAGACGTCTCCCAGAACAGCTGCCCACGAAAATCACCATGGATCCCCATGCTTTCCTCCCAGTCCACACAAATTCCCAACGCTCAAAAGCGCCCCACACCTCCAAGCGCTCCCATCGCGAGCCGGCGCCCTCCCCCGCGGCCTCCAGCGGGTTACGACCAGGTCAGTGAGTGTTTGGCCAAAGCATGTCTTCTGAAGTCCTCCAACAATTACCAACAATAGGAAAAAACATGGGTGGAAACCAAACACATCCGCAATTTCTTGAACGCGTCAAGAAATGCGATCATGCTGAATTATGCTACAATAGAGCTTTTAAGCCACCAGTGGCCCATTTGCAGCTTTTTTGCAACTACCCAAACAGGTACCTTTCGAGAAGCTGAACCTGTTCTAGCACCGGCCACCGTCTGAGCATATCGTGGGAATGTCATCGACCAAGTTAGTTTCATCATGTGCCACCTGCCATAGCATGAATAGGATCTTGCCGATGTGAATAGCATCTCAGTTGCATTCTCCGGCTGCGAAGTCGGCATTTCCTGGCAACTTCCTGGACTGTGGATGACGTACATACGCCACTACTGGGCGTGTTTTCTAAAAGTACGGAGACCTCCCAATTCGACCCCTGGCAGAAGGAAAAAAGATCAACACCCATTGGTTTCAAATGTTAGTTTCTTGGGTAAAAGGCGGTCAGTCAGCTTCCTTCTGGGCTCGATGGGTCACACACGGCCTTTTTTTATCTGTCTTCCTCATCTTAAAGCAGCACCTTCATTGATGTCAAAGAGTGGTCCACAAAAAACGCGGAGGAAATACTTCGTCCCTTCCAGCAGTCTATCCTCACCAAACCAAAGATCCCTTCATCCCTTCCGTGGGCCTCCAGCTCCTCGCCTTGGGCGAGACGTAGAAGCAGCCGAGAGGTCCCATAGCCTGGCAATTACAGTAGGTGGGACAAAACACAAAGACAACCTCTGCCCCCAAAGAGAGGGCAACATAGAGGTTTGAAAGGGAACAAAGCAACATGTGTCCCACAAAAGCCACGTGAAACACATGATTGATATGTTCCTCTGAGCTTTAACTTGATGGCACACTTTATGGACCTGCTCCGATCGACTTCGACCCTCCCAAAAGACACCAGCACCACATGGATGCTGAAATGTGAAATGAACCTCTGGACGCTGGGAGAGTCTCAATTTTCTTTTCCAATCCAGTCACTCACAAGCTACAGCTGGAGCATGCTGGAGCGGGAGATACAAACAGGACCACTGCGGATGCCCTTTGGTTGAAGACCTCTCTCCCTGGGCAACAGGGCTTACTTCCACCCCGCAAAATTTCGCATAGGCCGGCCGAAGTGAACATGCACTACGACTCACTAACATGGAAGTGGAAAGCCATCTGTTCATAAGGAAAGCAGTCAGTCTTTCTTTCGGGACCATGTCATTGACTTCGTGATGCGTTCGTCGGAGTGTATGAGTGTATGTGTCACCGGTGACGCTGTCTGTTTGATCGTTGAAATGTGCCAAAAGCGCAAAGACAGGCGCAACGCAGCGGGTTCCCAGATGGGAGAAAAAGGATTCAAGGCTCAGAATGTCCAAAACAGGTTTTGGTAAACGTTCCACTTTAAGTACCCTGGATCCTACAAATTCCAATTTGGTGGGATTATGAACGATATATGGCGTGGTTTCGAAACAACGACACTGGGACTTGAGGACATGAATGAACGCGTGACAGCTACAATCGTCACAGCCTCTCTTCTCAAAGCCACAACTGCCTTCAAACAAGACAGGCCCACGGTACAGCCCATGCCCCACACGCGAAAAAAGAGACCTCAGACGACTCAGTGTCAGTCGTCGCTCTCCACAGACGACAGTCAGTCGACGGTCGAGGTGTTTGGATCACACGGTCAAGGCGCTCTCCCGATGGCTGGAAAAGCCTCTAGTAAATGGAAAACACGTCAGAAAACCCGTACGTACACATGAAATAGTCATGGAAGTGAACATTGCCTCCGGGTAGATGACCATTTTCCTCTGAGCAGCAGGGAGTGTAGGCATCCTGGGTTATCCTGGGTCGAGATGTTCCTTGAGCCTTGCTCTTGGAGAGAGAGACCAACGATGATGATATACGTACTCGGAAGAGCTGACCTACCATGATCACACCCACTCCCACCCACTCCTTACCGATCAAACGGATGGTCAGTATGGGGTGCACAATATCCGCCTGAAATATATATAGACCCCCAAATTAGATATAGTAGTGATATAGTATAAAGATAGTGGTTACAAAGGCCATGGGCACCTGGATTTTATAAAAGGAACGAGTGGACCATTTTATAAGGGGGCTTTGTAGCCCCTATGTATAAAGTAGATCCCCACTAAAAATGTCTTGAAATCCGTGCCACTATATTTGGGGAGAGTGTTTGAAGGAGCGAACTTCGTTTTGCACTCCTGGTCTATGCCGGAAGTTTTTCTGAGTACCGGACTATGGTGGTCTAATGGGTAGGGATGCGTCGGACCCGGGTTCAATCCCCAAAGTGCACTAGGCGGACAGGCGGCCCACTACCCCACCCCTGCAGTTCAGGGGATGAGCGGACCGGGTGTGGACGGTTAAAACACCCTCTCTTCGCATCGCTGTCCTCTCTCAGTTGCGAAGTAACATCTTGCTACGTTCGTAGTAACAAGATGCTACGAACGGGGAGCATATCGGGCATCGCTACGAACGGAGCGATCGGACGCGAAGCGAACGGGGCTCCTGGCCTTACTAGGAACAAGAAGCTACGAACGGAGCATTTCGGGCATCGCTACTAGTAACATCTCACCACCGTCTGACGAGGTCCCATCGCGTCGAGCGCCGTGTCGCCTGCGTAGGCGATTTCGCCCTTGACGCAGGAAGCTCGTCAGGGCGAGATCAATTCCATCTGTGCGCCTTGGTGAACAGTCCCCCAAGTGATAGAACAGTCAACCGAGGAAGAAACAGAACATGCCATGAAAAACAGCTGAACCAATTATCAAAGCAATGCTTGAAGAAATTCATATATAGCAATAGTTCGTGCTGTTACGTGCTGTTGCTTGTCTTGATGTCCATTTTTACGAGCTGTACGACACTACAAAGATCCTGAAAAACTGCAGCTGACAAATGATGTATAGTGTAATGTTCATGAAATAGTGAAGGTAGCCAGGAGCTACTAGGGGGAGGCCATCGCTATAGTAACAAGAAGCTACTGGTAGCTCATGGGTTCCCACATTCCGCTCCCTTGGGACAACCCCATTGTGGAGCCCTGGCATGTATTGGTTCTCCCATTTGCTTCACAACCTGTGCAACTAGCTGTCAACTCATGTTACCAGTCACTCTTGGCCATTCACCACCTCCATGTAATGGGTGGATTTCTTGGTTCTCTGCTGAAGTCGTGAATCACCATCACAAGCGAACGCCCCACCCAATCCTCGACCTCCGAAGACTTGAGACGCCCAGAAAACCACTACCGATGTTACATGGAACATCATGGAACTTGAAAACCACTGGGTCTTGGAGGAAGCTAGTCAGCTAGTCTTCCAAAGGTATGATTTTCAGCTTCCATGTGGCTGTGGGTCAAAACCAGGCTACCTGGGTTCAGTGACCGGACAGAATGCACCAGAATGAACTATATAATTACAGTTCATATAATGAGGTCAACCTGTTAGGGTTCGCTGGGCTCGACGTTTGACCCACGGTCATGTGGGTCTCTTCCCGGATGTTGAGCCGCCCCAGCTCCCGTCTTGGCCACGTAGCGAGTCGAGGTGGGAGTTGAAGTGCAGATCGCTGGACACCGCTTTCGGTGGGCTCTTGGGAGGGCTCGACAACATGGACTCCTGGCGTCCAAAGCCCCGCTATAGCAGGCACGATGCGAAGGAAACAGGGTTTACGAGGCCGGTCGATGCTTGGTATGTTTTAGTCGGAAGGACTGGAACCCAGCTATAGTGGTAACTGCATCCTTTGGGAAAAGCATGGTGACCATCAATCCGGATGGGGCATAGATCGAAGTCCCAAAAAGCTGCAAGGAAGTTTGAAAGAAACTGCGCTGTTGGTGCCATGACTCATGACCTACGGACTTACTGGCCAAGTGGGAATACTCAGAATACTCCAAATGAGGGATCCTTCCATAGCCATAGCCATAGCCATAGCTTCCAACTTGTACATCAATCCGAGCCAGCAAGAGATTGTTCCACCTCGGATTGTGCTTTTTCAGCACCAAGGAACATGACATTGCAACTGTAATTAGTTGTGCGGTCATATTCATATATTGGATCTTTGAGTGTACGACCCCGGCAAAACCGACCTCACCCCCCGGCCAGACTGACTCCCGCCTCGGCCGGCGAGCGCCGCCAGGCCTGGACGCCGGGAAGACCACGAGAGCCCCGGACCGGAATCCGTCCGGTGAGGACACGTTGCTTCTTCGAAACAAATTGGTGAACAAAAGCAGAAAAACAACTAACTACATGTGGGTTTTCTTGCTTCTTTTGGACGGTCCCGGCAGTTGGGATGTTTGACGATGGGGTATGCTTCGGAGGTATGCTGCGCACAGTAGCGCTTTCAGAGCGTAGAGGGTATGGTTCGGGGTGTGCTTCGCCTAAGTCGAACATCCCAGCCCTACATAAACTGGACACCTTTAACAAAAACATGAAAAAAAACGTCACAAACCCACTTGAAATGTGTGTCATTCTCCCAGCTTCAGTGAGATACCAAAGATCTTCTAGTCAGTTCCTCTTGTCTGAACTAGTCAGCTCCGGAAGAGAAGAGAAACCGCCACGCCTGGCGCTGAACTTCCACATCCGACCTGCTTGTGTGTCGACCGCTCCGCGAGGCTCCGCGTCTATCCGGCGGTTCGGGGGTTCGGGGCCGAACGACGAACGACCCGAACCGAGGACGGTGGAGTCCATGCGTCCCCAAGAAGCGGATCTGGAGATCTGGAGAACGTGACACCAAGCAGAAGCTATAGGATTCCATTCAGACACATTGAATGAGGATTCGATGGGACCCACCCCCCAAAAAAACGAGCCACATAACCTGTGTTTCTAGATGTTGGCTCCATAAAAGCCAGGAGACTCTAGCAGCTAGGTATTCCTAAACCGTTCCAGTTCAGCTTGAATAAGAAAGGTCACCAGCAACTGTGCATGATCCCCCTGAGATGAACCGACTCAATCCCCCTCCTTGAACTGCGCAACTGCGAACCCCTGAGAGGTAACCCCGGTTGGAGTAGATAGTGCCATATACTCCGCCACTGCGAACTTGAAACATTAACCCTACACCTCCAAGTACCTCCTCAGAAGGCATTTGGACCCTCCAAACCCACCCCAAACACCTTCTCAGAAGGTACTTGGAGGCCTAGGGTAAGGTGAATTCCACCACGTTGCAGGTCTTTTCTCCTGGCTCTCCGCCTCTCCGCAGCATTGTTCCGCACCAAGAGCCGGACAGGTAGGAGTGAACCCGGGTCGAGGGAGTCTCTTCTCCCCGACTGGAGGCCTCGGAGAGAAGGACGAAGGACTGATTGGCCGAAGCATGGAGTGGACCGGACGTGACACCGGGCTGTTTTGCGGCGAACAAGTCTCCCTGATGTCATGGTATGTCATGGTCATTCATATCATAGTGTCTCAGGGATTTATCAGGAATCGTACATGGCAGGACAGGAAAAGGATGCTGAAGGATGCTGAACGGGGACCGAGAGGAAAACTTTTGGCCTGTTGCGGAGTGAGACGACTGGAGCTTTGTCCTCTGAGTTTAGTGGATCATGGTACTGTGTCGGTGGTCGCACCACTCATGATGTTCAACACGTGTGGTCAACCTCTTAGACTCTTGCTCCGCATGATTCTGCAGCTCCAGGAAACGCAAATGCTTCCATCAATTAGGCCCACCCTTGTCGAGAATACCCGGACGTTTCATCACAGGGCGAAGGCTGCTTCGCAGAGTTCAACGTCCAAACAATTCCGCAATTCCGAGGGTCTGGTGAGTCCAGATGAGTCCAGAAAACAGAATCACTTCACCACCATCCACATAACCTAAAAAAATGGACTTCCAGGGTTTCTGGGAAAGGTCGTCTCTTTGTTGAATAAGCTTTTGCACATGAGCTTCAAATGACCGGCCAAATTCCAAACCAATGCAATGCAATCACAAACTGCTTCCAAACCAATGCAATGCAATCACAAACTGCTTCCAAACCAATGCAATGCAATCACAAAATGCTTCTGAACCAATGCAATGCAATCAAAAAATGTTTCAGGGGACTTGGTATTTTCATTATTGCTCTGTCATAGCGTTCACCCACATAGTAAATCAAATCTACGACTCTGATAGACTCTGATCAGGCAATGGTCTGTCCTCACACATCTATCATATGAGGCTCTGGCTGTGGGTCAAAACCCTGATAGGTTGACCCTGATAGGTTGTCGTCTATTCGCATCAATTTTCAGTCATCAACCACGGTGTCCCTTTATAAAGCCGTTTGCCCCAGGGCAGCCCCTCCTTCCCTCCCTGTTTCAACCCCACCGCTCCCTGATGCTCCCTGCATCCCAACGGCTGAACGCAAGGGAGAAAGTGAAGCCAGCTGTTCTGAAGCCACGCCCACCTTTGTGCTCTCATGGACCACTTCAGCACCGTGATACGTGTCACGAGGGCAGGACGTGTCACGAGTTGCACTTTGAGCTGCTTTGGCTATTGAGTGGTGCGCACAAACTTGGCTTGATTGTAGCTGAAATGTGCATCTCTTTATGCATTTATCTCTTGCCTCTTTTGATGTAGCGTTCTTTCCCTATAGCGTTCCAAATGCACAACATTGCTCCATTCCACCGTTTCGCATCGTGCCTTCAAACTTGAATGCATGTCTGACCAGCATGGGCGAGGGCATGCTAATTGTCCCTTTGTTGACAGATCGTCCCCTGAGGCTGCTTGGTGATGTGTGGGTAATCACCATGTCTGACACATTCGGTCTGAAACACCAAGACCGGCATGCAAACATGATGTAGAATCTTGATTAAAATAACCACACCCCCATTTGGATTCTAAAACATGTTCGGGCATCGGGGGGGTGCTTAGATCTCAAACAGTCCAGATTCCACACGTCAGTGGCTCGCGAAGACTTCCATCTTCGAGTCCCAAGTGAAACCTTCGGGCCTCTTCCAGGACAAGGCTCAAGAGGCCCGGCAGCCGACCAGGCCTGGTCGGTGGTTTTAAAGATTCAAGCAGTGGATTTGGCTGAAATCTGTGCCAAACCGTGATGGCACAACCGTGATGGTACTTACAGGGGTTCATCTGATATCTAATATACACATAAAGCATAATTATTACATATAATTATACATATATTGTGTAATATTTAATATGTTGCATTTGAGTGTTTTTCAATATAATATAATATATATATATGTGTATATGTCTCGTTAGCAGGTCCTGGTGGGAGAGGAGTCCCCAGTGTGTTTGTGGGGGGGGATTGTTAAGGTGTCAAAGGGTGCTTCTCATGTCGCCCTAGAGATGGTCATTTGCAGATGCGTCTCAATCTTGGGATCTCCTATGATCCCCTCAAAACCTGAGAGGTGTCCGCATCAATGAGCTCGTCCGCATCGTGACGCCCGGTGTGAGGACATGCTTCTTATTGCGTCTCCCTCCAACACAAATGCTAATCTGGGCCACCCAGGCGAGCCATGTCGCTTGGGTGAAGTGGGAGGCGCGGGCTCCTGCACCACATGGAACAGGACGTGGCAAGTCCAAATGCACTAGAAAGTGCCTCCGCACGAACGAACTGATACTCTGGGGGTCCAGGTACTCCCTCCAACAAGTGGGAACCAAACCCTGCTAAACAGCTTCTCAGGAGGCAGTTGTTGCCCTAGGGATAATCAAACATGCAAACTCACTGGGGTGCTAGAGTCCGGATCTACCAGGTAGCAGCACCCAGGGTGGATCCACAGGAACTGCATAGAATTCGGAGGACGGCTTGCACTTCACCAAGACACCCCTCAAAGAACGTTGACAGCTTGGAATCTTCATCTCCAGTCTGTCAATGCCTGCTGCACTGAGAACAGACTGCACTGCTCTTCGTCTTGCCCTTCACGAGAAGCAGCGGCAAAGAACATTCAAAAAGCCAGATGTTCAGGATCAAAAACCTTTCTTTCTGGTATGCAAAACTCCTCAATACAAGTATTCTGTGGTTGAGGCTCAGGGGTCTCCCGGACCAAACCTGCGCCATGCCGGGGTTCTCCAGTCTGTGACTGATTCCAAAAGTGCCATGAGGGAAGGTCCGCAAACGACCCTGCATTGTCCTGGCTAGTCTCTGGGTTGTTCCATGCTCTGCCTACCCGAGAATGTCGCATCGAGTGCCTTGAGTGCCTCTGGAGTTTCTGGGCCAAAACCACTGGAAAAAGGACCCCCAAAAGCCCGGGACGCCAAACAGGGGTCCGATTCTCGAGATCCACCAGATGGCCCGGGAAGCACCTCTGCCACGGGGCATTCCGCAAGGGGGGAACCCCCCCGTTGCGCAGTTGGCACGGCACCTGCGAAAAAGAAGCTCGAAGCTCCGCTCCGTAGTGATTCACCAGCGTGTGGGAAGACTGCAGCACTTTTTGGAGATGACTTGCGGCCGCTTCCTTTGTCCACACTGTCCACACTGCGGCCACTGTTCGATTATTCGATTCATCAATCCATCCCACAGAAACCGCCGTTGGAAGGGGCCGAAGGCCATCTATTCCCTAGGGATCCAAGTACCTTCTCAGAAGGTGATTGGAGAGTTATGCAGGTTTGGAGAGTCCAAATACCTTCTGAGGAGGTACCTCCTCAGAAGGTTTTTGGATCCCAAGGGTATTATAGATTTATTGGATGTACCAAGAGCCGGCCATCTTCACCTTCCACTCGCCCCTCACCCAAAGCGCAACTGGGCCTGTCATGCTGGCCAATGGCTCGCGCGTGTGCATGGCTTCTCCCTGGCATGTGGGACACTTGTTCAGTGAAGGTTCATCCCGCAAACCAATTCCCTTGGGCCTGTAGCAGGACCCATGGTGAATTCTAGGGCATCCGCCAGGCGATGTGTGAAGAGTTTCTTCATGCACTGCTCCAAGGGAACAAAACAATCAATTCTTGATCGAATGTATCTGAATCTTCAATGGCAAATCCTCAAAGAAAGGCTCGGCTCGGTCGCCTAGTCGGCTTCAAGTCTGTTCGAAGAGGTCGTGGTGATGAAGACTCACACTCTTGTCATGACCACACCCCTACAGTCCCTACAGCTTTCCAGGTACTTCCTCAGTCGGAACCTGCCCTCAAAACCCTCGGTTAAGCACGGGAGGGAAACGGAGGTAATTGGCGCTACTGTAGGGAACACACTCATGCATGACAATTGATACCACTTTCCTCCACAGGTTCGGGGCAACGTATAGTGTGAATGGTTAGAGCACCACCGATCGTCATTTGTCCAACAAAGTTCTCGGCCTGCACTTCCAAAGCTGCTTGAAGCAACTGGCCAGCCACCTGGAACGTGATTGAGCTCTTGAGCTTGCGTGATTCACGGGGTTGTGCCGGCGAAAACGGTGATTGATGATCATCCAACTGCCATTTGGTGTGGTTCACTCACGGCTGTGCTGGGGGGGGCCGGCTCTGGGGTGGGCCATAGTGTTTATGATGAACACACGGCGGGTTGCCAAAAGGATCCAAAAGGATCAATGGATTTTAGACCTTGGAACCTGATACCTTACATGTTAGGACTCATGTTAGGCGTGTGTTGCGGAGAAATCAGCTGGCACCACTGGCGGAAAAGGGACTGTGCCCGTCAATCTCGAACACATTCTAACATGTTATAATGTTAATTTAATATACATTTTAATATGGTTGCAGCTATATTATACTCGCGATATACTCGAGATATGCAGAATCCGTGATTCCACTCACTCCAAAACCGCAACCTGCGAGCCAGCCTCGGGCCCAGCAGCCGCTTGCTTGACACGTTCTGCAAGCCTCCGGTTCCACGTCCGGTTCTTTGACTAGAAGAAGAGGTGTGCTGGTGGCGCTATTCATTGAGAGCAAAAGAGTCAGGAATACGGTTTGCGCCGCAAGATTCTTCGGAGACCAGCAGATCCAGCCTTGCAAGTCCATGTTCCTCAAAAGAATCGTGATACAGTACATCTGAAGTAGGCCGCCGCGGATTCGTCAGGCTGCGTGTCACAAGGATTGCTTTGGCAAGAGTGGACCCGCTGGTGGACTGCATTTTTCCATGAACGTTTGGAGTTGCCAAAGGAACCAGGTGTTCACCAGCGAACTCCAGCCTTCGAGCAGCTGCCATGCACTCCATCCTCTGGATGGAAGGGTGGTAACCGCAGGGTGGATGAATAGGTATGATCACCACTTTGGAGTTGCCCACTCATGTTCTGTAGGGGGTTATAGGGTGTTTTACCCGTGTACGATTTGCAGTTAATATACAAAGACTAGCGTGTTCACAGTGTTCACCTTCAAAATACTTCCAAGGCGTATGTCTGTTGTCCTGATTTGCGCGTGTGGAATCCTTTTGGGTTCTAGATGCATGATCTGGACATCTGAAAACATCCTCAAACCCAGGAGTCCAGAAATTGAGAAATCTACAAGGATCGTTAGGCACATGTAGCAATTCCATCCAACGCGGGCCAAATGATTCACAGAACATGGATTTCCAGGTCCAGATCAAAACATTCAGGATTCCAACAAGAAAGACATAGAAAGACTGTCTGCAGATTGACAAGTGATCTCCACATACCTGTTGTGTGCTTGCTTCTTTCTCATGCAGCATGCAAATGGGATATTTCCCATGTAAATTCTAGAGCAATTGATTGACTCGTGTATTCCAGGGCCCCACACCGACGCTCCAGCGCCCGTTCCGAGGAGGCCAACCGCTGAGAAAGGTTGCCCTGAAAACACCGCACAACGTGCAGCGACAGGAGTGCAGCGGCAGAGCGGGCGTGTCAGGGGGTGACGTCATGGCGGGGTGAGACGAGCAAACGGAAAGAACCACCGAGCTCTTCTTCGCACATCTGCGAATGGAAGATTGAACAATTTCCTCACAAGAATGGAAGCTCTTCTTCCTTGTGAGGGTCAAGGGTGAGTCTCCAACCAGGTTTTCGAATTTGAGCTTCCAGATATCCAAAGCTAGGGACTGACCGAGGTGGACCATCTGGAGACCTTTTTGATCCATGTTGTGGGACCTACGGTTGATGCAACAAAACCTCCTCAACAAACGTCTAACATCTCTGTAAACTCTTTTCGACGCGTTTGAACAAGTATCTGTGAAATGTGACAGAACTTCAGTGCTACTTCAACTGTGCCTGGCCAAGCATCTTGATATGGTACTTACCCTCACTGAACAACTTCCTGCTTTGAATGTCCGACCAAGCTCTGTGAACCAACGGATGATCCTCCAGCCCTCCCCCAGCCCGGTCTGGAAACCCATCGCCTGGCTCGCCTCACGCCCGAACAGCTGGCTCTTGAGATCCTGCTCTCGCTGGCGCAAGGCCCGCAGCTCGGCATGGAGCCCCGGCAGCTCGGTGTGGGTGGCGCGCGTGGTGCGAGGTGGAGAATCCGCACCTGGCGAGGTGGAGGGGCTCCGACGCAGAACCCAAACACCCACGATGCCAAGTCCAAAGACTCTGTAAAAACCTGATCCTTCACCTCCTTGAGTAGGTGATTGTTCAATGTTTTTGTGTGACCAACTCCAGCGAGGTCTGACTGGCCTTTATTGATGGATCTGTCTCAAGCTGGTCCGCAATGACCCATGCCAAGTTGGACCTCTTGTAGGTGTGTGGTCGAAAGCCTGGCCTGAGGCCTCTGTCTGCGGCTGATGGACCAGCTGTCGAAGGTCCTTCAGAGAGGTTTGTGGACCCTCCAATGGTCCTTTTTGGATTGCTGCGCTTATTGGTTGGTTGATGAACCAAAGCGAGACGCATCAGGGAAACGCACTGGCCTGACAAATTTGCCTCAAAACCCAGTCACCGACACAAGCTCTTGTGTTTCTTTGTGCCCCAGACAAGACCAACGGACATTGAACGAAAACATACTCTCCCTGGAACATAGAAGTGGATGGCAAGGCCCTTAGGAAGACGATGTCCCTCTACAAACATCATTAGCCTGCAAGGGCGTCTTTGTTACAGGCGTTTTAGATTAGGCCCATGTGTTTCCCAAGAGAGTGCCTATGGAACCCCCGATGGCTCCCAATCATTCACTGTAAGATGCCTGAGAAAGCTGGCAAAATCCCAGAGAAAATGTTCAGCGCTCTTGTTTTTTTGGTTGCAAAATTAACAAGAGCAAGATACCCAAGGTTTTGGGTGGTAGTGGTGTGGGCTTGCCTTGGGTAATTTGAGGTGAATGTTGGAGACTGTTTTTATTTTTTGGTGGGTTATCTATGGGCCTGATGATTTGCCACACTAAACCCACCAAACACCAAACAAACCTATCCAAATCCCAACCAAATCCCACAACTGGGCTGGGAAGAGAAATTAACATTCAATTGAAACCAACCCCACCCCACTCAAACCCCAACAAAATCGCAAAAATGGGCCGGTGTCAAAAATAAAACCACCTTGTTTTCAAACATTATTTCAGGGTTTCATGGTGTTTTAGTGGGATTTTTGTGGACATTTTTCAGTCAAGAAAGCCTCCAACAACCAAACTCTTCTACTTCCATGTTAGTTCCAGAGTGTACACCAAAAATGCAAACCTACTCAACTCAAACACGGTCCACCTCTCTACGCGAGCCGCTCGCCAAATCATGAGGCGCTCGACCCAGGTCCTCATGTCCACGCTGATGGAAAAAGCACCCACTCCTTTCGAAAAGCCTCTCTCATCAGCTATCAACCTACACATCTCTCAACCTGTTTGCATGTTTCATCTCTCAACCTGCCAGAAAGCCGCAGGTTGAGCCCCAGGGAGCTTCAAAAAACCCAAAAGCACCCCATTTCATGCCCAGCCGCCATGTGCGCATGTGTTATCCCTCAACATAGGTCTGGCCCCTGCCCTCAACCGTGCGCCCCATATCTCTCTCTCCTGGATCTGCAGGCTCCTTAGCTCTTGCAGAGCTCCCAGGAGCTTCACTCGCCTTTGCAGGACCTGCGTCGCTACCATGAAACCAAACGGACACTGCGGGTCGAGGAAACGCAGGGACCGCACATACGGGATAGATTCGACCATTTTGAACAAGCAAACAGTAGTTGCGAGAACAATGCTAGAAAGCCTCCCATTTGCGCAATTTGGTCATATGCTTCGCAGTACAGACTCTGCATCAGCCGTATCACGTCAACTACCACATGATCGCACACCTTTGGCCGATCCTCTGAGGGGTGGTCTCGATGTTACAAACGAAAGCAAATGAGCGCGCGTCGAAACATGTTTGTATCGCTCTTGGTTGCTTTGCAGTATTGTATTAAATGAACATTTCGGGGCTTCTAATTTGGATTTGTCTCACCAGCTTTGCCGTTAGGGAGACAAACTCATACGCCTTCTTGGGGACGAGCACGTCCCTTTTCAAGATACGCACGTCCTCCCCCAAAGCCAGTCCAAATCACTCCGAATCAGTGAAAGCTATTCCAGTCCGACTATCTACACTTCATGTGAACTCCCACTCATGATCCCATCCATGCTCCACTTTCAGCTCCCACCTCCACCTTCAGCTCCTTCTCCAGCTCTTGTGCTTCCACTCGCTGCGCCACACGATCGAGGGCGTGCGCCTCGTCCTCGCCCAGGGCGTGCGCCGTTGCCCGGAGCGAGGCCTGTTGAGCATCCAAGTAGCGGCGCAGTGAGGAGGTGAAGAGGCGCTGAAACTCAAAGAGCTCCTGATACCTGAGTCTTTTGGCACAAGAAGTGGTGGGAAAATGCCAAAACACACCTACCAGGGGTCTCAAAGGGGTGCCTATTGGAGGATAGGGGTGCCCATTATCCACTCACTTATGGACAAAAAAAACACCCCTTTGTGACTCCTGGTGCAAATGATTAGTCCGACTTGGGTTTGAATCAGGCTGTTGGCGCACTCTATTCTGCAACAGAAACGTTGGCAAACAACACAAATTTCAAGGTTAGATCGGTCTTACCATCTATATATTTACAATATCAATTTATATATCATATGTCATCTAGGAACCTAGAATCTAGGAGTCCTTAATAATTATATGGTTTACTTAGGTTTGCTCGTTGACTTTAAAGTAAGGCCCAGATGCTTCTCACTAAAGGTTCGAACCTGCTTTCCAGCCTCCAGGTCCGGTACCGTGACCGCTGCTCCAGGGTGTGCGCGTGCGCCCGCATGGCAGGGCATGGAGCACGTGCACCCGCACGGCCCGGCATGGATCACCGGCCAGACTCAGAAGGAACTCTTGGTTTGCGAATGAGTCGGGGCAAGCTCGGCATCTTGTTGTTGCGGGGTCCCTGTCATGTTATTTCACGAATCACCTTTCGGATTGGAAGCCGCTACTTTCACCCCAATGAAGGATGATGTTTAAAGCCCCCATGGTGAGGAAGAAGAGGGAGTCTGCGACTGGTGTAGGATGCGAATGAAACTGATGATGCTGCGTGAGAATCCCGACTTGCTCCAAAGCAATCTGCAAGTGCATAGGACTTGCGGATTGATGACATCTGATATCTCAATGGAATACCAAGTTCACAGTACAATGTGCAGGGGGGAGATTGACCAACACCTTGACCAACGTTTGAAGGTGTGCTCAAAAGAAAGGCATGCCAAACATTTTCCCAGAGCATTTTCATTTGCGAAACATTTGCTTGTTGGATTGTTGGAGCCCTGTTGATTTCAGCCTGAAGCTGCAAGAAGTCAATGTGCTTGCTGTGCTCTCCCTACCTTCCATCCGAGTTCGTCAGCATTGATCGCAGCGCAGAAGGGAATCCTTCACGTAACTCGTGTGTCAAATCGAATTCGGAATCAGCTAAAGGCAAGGCGGCGTGTCGACCGTGGGAGGTCGGTCGCCCCGTGGGAGGTCGGTCTCATCCGGACGTTGCGCGGCCCGAGGAAAACGCCCATCCCCAAGTTGCGCAATTTCTGTCCTCAACGGACTTTTGGTCTCTTCCAGCACCTTCCAACAGGTCTCCGAAATGGAGGCTTTTGTAGACTTAAAAGCCGCAGGTGGTGACCTGTTGGAGGGTTCTGGTGTCCTGGTTCCCGTCTACCTGCAAATGCATATCTCACTGTAGACATGGATCTGCAACCGTGCCGCATGGGTTCAGCGGACATCACGCGAGACACGTCAGGGAACGGGAACGGCTTCACATTGGGCAACGGTCATGAAGGGGCACGTCTCATTGATGAACTTGCTGTTTGGTTGCAGGGGTTTATGCATAAACTTTCGTAAAACACATATCCAGTGACAATTCATCAAAGCATAGTTCGTCGGCAAATCATGTACCTGAACTTATCCATCGTCCAAAAAAAAGGTACGCTCGCTCATCGGGCAGCTCAGCTTCGTTCATTGCTTCATTTCTCGCTTCGAGCGGGCAGCCGCGCTCTTTGTCGCTGTGCTTGTTGCCGCGGCATCGTACTCGTTCGAGTCAACCTGCTGAAGCTGCGTGTCCAAAGGGTGTGGATGGGACACTGTGCCCACAAAACCAGCACGGTCATCCTTTTTGCAAAAAAAACAAAGACATCCTATCAGTCTACCGCGTCTGACATGCTGCAGTGGGTGCAGTGTACAAGGTGTGTGAATCGAAAGCATTCAAAAACATTGAAACATAAAAACAAAGGTCCTCCCATACAGTCTTATTATGTTGAATTGTCTGAGATTGTCTCCTCAGAAGGATGCCATCAGCCGGCATTGGGACCATTGGGATATATTGGGATATGACATGCATTCTGCAAGAACGGAGGTGTGTTAAGTTTACATAAAGAACCATAACTCTAACTCTAAATAACTTCCCCAGTTGAAATGGGAGTGTCAAACCCTGAAACACCGCAAGAATGGACTCCAGTTCGCAAATGTAGACTTTCAAAGAACTGATAACTCATTTGTGATAGACACAAGAGATAAGAACTTGAGTTGTCCTACCACCAATCGACAAATGAAAACAACACATTCCTGTTGTCCCCGTAGTGTGGGTCTTCACGTTTCACAATTACTCATCAATGCTCATGTTTACAGAGAATTATGAAGAATCCTTTTTTTTTCCAAGCATACTACCAGCCCAAACTATCTCCGTCTGTATTAAACCCTTCCGGAAGTTCCACATGGTTGCCGCAATTTCTTGCTAATCTGTCGCCCTGCAAAACAAACTGCAGTTACAAACATTGCAGGTCTCCCGCGTGCCACCATACATGGTATGAGTATAATGCACCCCGCGGACAACTGATGACCTCACAAAAACAACTGTACAGCAGTGACAAAAACAACTGTACCTCACACACAGCAGTGACGGGAGAACCGTGACATGTCAACCGTGCCACACGTGCCACAGGACAACAAACTACCAACAACATGTTTCAACCAGGTTGGTAGTTTGTTCAAAGGACACAGGACAACAAACTACCAACCTGGCTCTGTGCTCTTGCACGGTGCCTTCGCGGTCACTCTCCTCACTGGCGCCAGCTGCGGAGCTGCCACGTGACTCGCCCAACTTCCAGTCGGTGACCCGCCCGGCGGGATCTGCATGAGCCTGGGCGGAGGAAAGATCTGGAGATCGGCTGAGACCCTTTCTCGAGACGTGGGATGAAGTATCCTCCCTGCAACAGAAGTGACAAGCCCTCGCTAGAACTAGCGGATTTCAATGGATTTTGTGGTCTTTCCAAAGGCCATCCACTTCCACTTCCATGATGGTTGGAGGGAGGGCAACGAAGCATCGTTCAACTTTTGAGAATGATGTGACGACCGCTCTCGCAGTGCTCGCTTTCAGTCTGTCGCTCTCTCTCGCTCTTTCTCTCTACACCCAAGGGGACAAAAGGATGAAGGTAGACTTGTGGTGATTACGGAAGCAGCAGGACAAAATAGGACAACAAAACTTGGGGAAAACCATCCTAGCCATCGGGTCCAAATGGTCTGGAGTCAAAGCCACGTGATATTGTTATAATCTTTTGAGGAGCCAGGGCATTGATGCAAGAGCCGAAACCACCCCTGCAGCCTGAAGCATAGCATAGCACAGCACAGCGCAGCAGTATATTACATAGTCCCCAACCCTGCATCGGCAAGATTCAAAGCACCTGTGTCAAACATGGGAGTCTGTGGCCACTGCACCCGCCCCCCCACCATGAGCAGAGTTCCACGGGCGGATACTCCATTGGAACCCGACCGATTTCCGTGCAGTCCAAGCTTCGGCAATGTCCGTGGGGCCCAACATGCTGCAATCGTCTAGCACCTCTCGCAGCCTTGGATGACCCACAAAGAAACCTAGTAGCGTCATGTAGCGTCCTTGTTTCGTTCGTAGTATACGGCCAGGAGCCCCGTTTCGGTTCGAGTCCGATCGCTGTAGCGGCCGTGATCGACCTCTCGGTCTCGGTGGGGGCAGAAGAGTCCCCACCGCTATAGTCGACTGTTTGGGAGAGAAGTAGCGTGTGGTGATGGGATCATGTGAGATGTGCGGAGGGTGTGCTGAAACAAACACGCCAGTTAAGGAGTGGACCACCGTGAGCGCATGGTCACATGACTTTCCGAATGCCTTTCACCATGTCACGAAAGTACATCAACCTATCATGAACATACATCAACATATATCACTGATATGCTGACATGTCCCTATAGAATCTTCTGCCCTGGGTGTTGATCATTGTTGATCCCCTCCCCCTTTTCTGGGTCCCAACAAATTTACCACATGCATCTTCCCGCCATGGCACTTGCGCACAGAGGCCCCAGCAAACTGGGTCTCCTGGTAAACGGAAAACGCTAAGCCCGAAAACGGGCAAACGGACTTCTTGGGAAAAAAACGGTTAGTTTAGCATAGCATACCATAGCCTTTTCCACCTGTTGTTTTGGAGGAAACACCCAAATATCATCATATATCTTTAGAAAATGGTTAAAAGTTAAAAGGATTCGGATCCAAAGGTTATCCACTGACTATATAGGTACAGGGAGATAATCTCTTCAAAAGGGTGCTGCAGGTCACTCGTGTTCAGGAGCTACACAAAGGTCCATGGAGCATCAACAAGCATCTGTCCATCTGCAAATCTGATGAAACGCTGACACCTGTGGCTCAAAACACCAGCTACTTGTTCGATAGACTGTAACTTATGAGTCCAAAAGCAGGGTGATATCTATGTGAATGGAGTGACTGTCACCTCCTTTTCTGAACAATGAGGTGCGTATAGGTACGCAAAACATCGAGAACATCGACCCATCATTGCCGCAGAGATGTTCCCCAAAAAGCTGTGTGGAACCAACATGCACTGCAGAATGACTCACTATGACTCACTCATGTCCCCTCCGCTGTCTCTTTAGCTAAACACCTACATTTGCTGAACATGTAAAGCTAAAGCCACTCACATTGCGCCGAACTCTCGCCCGTCTCGCGTCCAGTTTGCGCGACTTTTGAAGCGATGCTTGGCTTTCCGGTCGCGCTCTGGCTTCGACTCTGGGCTTTCCACATGGCTCAACAAAGGAAGGAAAAAGGAACGGATGACCAGAGCCAAGAGTCCCTGGTTTCATTCTTGTGCCCTGCTCCTTGGCAGTGAAGAACTGCAGAGATTGATAGACATTGGTTAGACTGTTGAGCCACTGGTTTCGCAATTTGCCGAATTGAATGGTGGGAGTTCATGGGGACCCCCACGGTCGACGGCATTCATTGAATGCATTCCACTTCTGACATTTGCTGACGTGCACTTTGGCAATTTGGCGGCTGGGCCTCTCAAAAGCATGGTGCTGCTGATGAAGGGTCCAGCTCGTTACCTGAGAGGAACAAGTTTTTCGACTCATCGATCAGAAGAATGACAGCACCACTCCGGGACAGCTAGAGTTTTTGACAACAACATATGCAGGGTCCGCTACTAGTGACGTGGACTGTCTAGTAGAGGGAATCTCCCATTCCAAACCTCTCTGGCCACTGTCCCGTTGGCTAGGCTCTGGATCCAGACTGCACAGCTGCTCAAAAGTCAATGAAATTGAACACGCATCACGAAATGAGCATATATGAAATTTCCCAAAGACTCTTTTTAGGTATCGAAATATTGCCGTCAGATCGTGGGTTTCAAGTTTCAGGGTCTACTCCTTTCCGACACCTCGAATCTGAACACATCTCACCACCGCCTGTTTTCGGAGGTGTTAAGGTCTTCAAACTCTGGGTCCTGTAAAACTCAACTTTATGGTTTCATTAGGGGCGAAAAGGACTCCAAACCTGTCCAATTGTCTATGATCGAAGGCTCTTTCGTGCCTCTCTTTCTTTCACTCGGGTCTTTCAAGGCACCTGGTCGACGGGACACATTCCTCAGGCAATTGTCAAGGCGTAACGGGTCATATGGACCACCACGGCGGCAGCCATGCCATTGAGGAGGAAGTAACAAGGGATCCTTGGAAGTGCAAAAGAAACTTGCTAGAAACATCGTTACTAGTAACAAGGGCATTACTAGTAGCAAGGTGTAGCAAGAAGCTACAAACGTAGCGATGCACGAACGTTACGTTCGTGGGCTTCTTAACATTCCAAAGTAAAGCCTGCCTCGAAGCCCTCTCGGGGGACGATCTATACTCGTGTCCGACTTGATTTTCAAGTCGCGAGTCCTTGCAAACACACACACACACACACACGAGCAAACCAAGCAAATGCCCAGCTAATCGGATTTCCATCAGATACATGCAGTCGATACAGCTATACAATCGAATTGGTAAACACCAGCCACACGTCTGACATAGAGCATGCCAAGACGATACCATACTGTACTTACCATACTATACCTGAACCCTCATCTGTGGTGCTTTCATTATGCGAACCCAGAGTTGCAACAATTGTCCAGGTCTGTCAGCGCAGTAGTTCGTCATGCACACGATGCCCATCGTGTGTCATGGCGGAGCGCGGTAGTTCGTGTGTCATGGCGGCGCAGTTCAGGATAAATTGGAATCTGGGACGGTTCAACTGTTCAATATAGCTGTTGGGTCTATCCTAATACCTGTAACAGTGGATGATGATGGTTAGTAATACGACAGGAAATAGGACAGACCCAATAAAGCTGCTCTTTAGATGACGGTCGTCCTCTGTTAGAATCGAGCACGCCTTGACATAAAATTTCAGGATCCGATCTGGTCCAGCCGTCTAACATCCAGCCTATTGATCCAAGAGAAGCATGAAACGTGCATGAAAGCACCATCAGGTGGGTAGTGTCTTTTCTCCACTAAATTATCCATTAGTGTGGGCTCCTTGACCTACCACCGTGTAGGTTCGGTCGGAGTGGGTGCCACGCTCTGTCTCGGATGTAGGACAGGAGCCCTTTTCTCCAAAAGAACTCCGTCTCCCGTGTTTTCTGAATTCTGAGCCACTCGACCGCACCTGTCCAACCCTCCTGCCACATGTCTCGGATGATAAGGCCAGAGCGTCGTATACTTCGTAAGGCCAGAGTCTTCGATGGAAATGCCCACAGCAGCCCGATAGGTCATGGCGTAGAACTGCCTCCAAGAGACACCTAGCTATAATAAGGGAACAACAACTCCTCACCCTAGGGATACAGTCCTACCTTCTAAAGAGTACGACTGGACCCAACAACGGCACCTACATAACAGTGTCGAACACATCACCTTTTCAAAGGGTATCTGGATCCATAGGGTATTTGGCAAGTGTGCAAATCTCTAACGTCAACATTACTGACCTCCAAATTGTGACCTCATAGCAAAGTTCAGGACCTCGAATATGTCTAGTTGATGCAATGCATGATTCATCTATGATCCTTTTGCCCTGGCGATCCTGGTGCGTTGGGGTTTTGGGATCGTTTCAGATGGCGGGTAGATCAAGGTGCCCGGTGTGACGCTCAGCCTTAAAACCAGGTAGATCAAGGAGAGGAGCCCTCCGATACGCCCATTCACCAGGACGCTGAACATCAACGTGGACACCTCGAGAGGTGTCGCGCGAGAAAGCACAAGCAGTCTGAGGATGCTGGAGCTGGTTGCATGATCCTGGAAGTCAGCACCAACATGGGGACGGGTCAAAACCTGGAGCCCTGGTCGTCTACCATGTAGCTTGACCTTCCGGGTAGGTCGATCAAGGTATGCTGGTTTTGACCCAGAGCAACATCATTATTCCTATGAGGGCAACGAGCAGAATTGGAGCAAACAGCCACTACCAGGTCTTGAACAAAGATGGAAGTGGAACAGGGATGCTGAAAAACGTAACATTTTCTCTCAAACAAACTCGTGAACATATCTAAGTTCCTCCAACTCATGGAGATAAATGGCATGAACATAGCACATATGAATATGACAGTTCATATAAACATCTTATAATTGATATTATGATATAATTGTCCATGCTGCTTGGACTCCTGAACAGGGACGGGGATGAGCACTTGGAGAAAAAGCACGTTTCATGTCCACTGAGATCAAAACCTCCCAGACCCAGCTTCGGAATTGTGGTTCATGGGATGACTGTGAAATGAGTGTGACTGCTCCTTCTCAAAGCCACTACTTGATAACACACATTTCGAGTGCTTTGTGAATATGAATCGTTGAACAAATGATGTGTTTTATGTGTTGCTTGTAAAAAAGGAAACAACAACAACGACAACAACAACAACAACCACCACAACAACCACAAAAACAAAAACAGTGTCAACATCTGTCAACTCAAGGCATGCAGAGTTCTTCTGCCCACTGACCCTGGTAGACTGGGCATGCTTCGGGAGTGAACAAAAACATGAAACTCCGCGCTGTGATGGGATGAGGGTCAACAGCCCCTAGACCCAGAACTTCCAAGGACTTGTTTTACCCCACCTGGAAGTCATACTCCACCACGAGCATGCCGGGGTAAAATGAGACATTGGGACTCTCATGGATTTCCGGCACTTTGCAGGTCATATATAGAGTCGAGTTGTGGTCCGAAGACAGGTGATGAAGCCCCTCTGAAGCCCCTATGCATGAAGTGCTGCGGGAAACAAAAAAACACATCATACCAGTATCATATCTTAGAACTTTTTGCACCGCCCTATTTGCAGGCATGTTAGCCAGGCTACGTTCACATACCAATATCTTGCAACATACTTTGACACGTCATGATGCTGTCCGACCGCAATGCCCGTTCTCCAGGAAAGTGGCAAAGAAGGAAGCCATCTGTTCCACTTGATTTGTTTGCGCTCTCTGCGCCAAGTACACTTCTTCGGGCTCGGTGCCAGGGAGGTCTTTGTACGTCTTGGTCACCATGTTGTGCTTGTGCTTGGCTTGACCAACTGCCATCACATCCAGCAAGCCTTGTGAAGCGCAACAGGAATGTTCAGTGTCTCCAGATAGAGGTACTGGACAGGCCACCTAGTAACCTAGTAGGGAACATCAACTGAACACATCAATCAAGCGCAACTCTTTCATTTATGGATTATCAAGATAAGGATTCCCACCCGCAATTCTGGATGGACGAGACTCTTCCAAAAGAGCCAAGGATGCTTAAGACGGCAACTGTATATGACGGGTTTGCCGCACCAAAGAAGCACCTCCAGCCTTGGGATATTCTTTTGTGATCATGTCATTCTTCCATATCCTTCCCGGGGGCGTTGCAGGGAGGTCATCGAACCTGACCCCAAGGACGTTCTTCGGACCCAGGAACTGTATGTAATCACCCAAAACGCCAAGACCACGCATGGCATGGCCAACTCTCCGACGAGGTCCTCGGGCAGTGTCCCTGGTCTTCGCCCCACCAGGAAAGACAAGGCAGAGCCAACCACAAAGTACCTGACCAGTGCAAGTAAAGCAGTAGGATTCCCGCCTGATTACCTGGACCTTTGTTGGAAGAACAACATTGCGGTTGAACAGGCAGAAGAAACAATCGCATTTTGGAGCTGGAAGATGAATGTGAGTCGAACGTCCGCTTCCACCGACCCAGTTTTGCACCTCAATGACCGTAGGAATGTGGAGTGCAACATTCGTATGTCAAGACAACAAGCAGTCCCGGCTGAGGCGCTGGAACACCGTGAAACATGAGCCTGTAGACACAGGACATACTGGTCCCTCCAAAGTGCCTAGAACACAGGACATACTGGTCCCCATTCTCCAGAATACTTTTAGGGTCCAGGTCGTAGACTGACACCCTTGCGGTGACTCCAGAGCAAGGTTTGTCACCTATTTGAGACGTTCCTATTCCTCCCGCCGACTTCAACTGGACCGACGTCTTCGACCGACTTCGACGCTCTGACCGAAGCGGTCCCCGGAGGGCACATGAACAGCACCGCAGCGACCGGTGGCGGACCGTTGGACATGGCGGTGGACCCCACCGAAAGCGGTCGCGAAGCGTGGTCGGGCGGGTCGCTGAAGCGCGGCAAATGGCTGGAAGGTCCTCTTCCTTCAAACAGGACGGATGTTTGGATGGCTGAGCAGTTTGGAAGAGGAATTGCTCAACTGCTTGGCTGAGCTCTCCAGATTGCTTTGATGATGTTCGGAAGAGGGATCTCAACTCCAAAGGTTTGGTTTCGGTATGTTTCGGTGAGAGCACCTGAAAGAGGGGAGCACTCCATTCTGAGTGGGTGAGAACTTGTCCACGAGCCCGGTTTTGAAGCACGTTTGATACAGCACAGGCGCAACAGGGGGTTGAAAAAGCAGGTACTTTAAGCTTGGCTTTGAAATGCCTCAAAATCCAAGACGTCTGCTGCTGCAAACTCCCAATTCGAACTGCAAGAACTGCCACCCAGGTGGAATATCCCCCACAAAAATAATCGGTCAAGGTCACGTCAGCTTCAGTTCAACTTGGTTGTGTCTAACTATGAAACAACATTACTAACCCTCCTCCTCCTCTTCCATTGCAAATGAACTTGGTAACTAGTCATGCCAGCACTTGGGCCGTCCTGAGCACCTTGCCAGAAGAAGACATAGAGGGGAACTCGCCTCTGCCAACAACCGCCGATGACGGTGGGGAGGTCGTTCAACAAAAGGGAACACGTGTGTGCTTGGTCCTGCCTCAATGCATCCCGGTCATGAACATGCATCCCGGACCAAGTGGCGAAAACCTTCTCCTTCTGACCGGTCGATCGAGAGTCAAAATGTCAATCGCAGGGGAGGTCCATTGCTAGAAATCTCTGGACCCGTAGTACCAACCTATTGTAGATACGCCCATGCACCAACCTATCTACAGCCTCATGTCTTGAGGTTTCACACGTGTGGATGTGTTTCTACGAATTGGTAGCCTATAGTCGACCATACCTACACTCCGTCTCAATAACATAGAAGTGGCCCACTGTTTATCAAAGAAAATAGTCTTCCAAGCGACCATGCCATCCACTTCAGCATGCTTTCTGGCCAGGCAAAAATCCTTTGTCATCTCACATCCATGACCAAACCGGATCGGTCTTCAAAGGCTCCCACGTGCAGGACCACCGTCTCGCCAACCCTGGCAACTGCAAGATATCGGCGCCTGAGCACATCGTGCACATCGCGAAACATGCGAAATATGCGCCGGGTCTACGCTCAACAGTGCTGATGTAGTCAACACGCGGCAATGGAAAGGGACCTGACGGAAACTATAGCCATATTGACCTCCTTCCAAGTGGTCTATGCAAAACGGTTCAAGGAAAACATTGGCCTATCGCCCTGAGATCCTGGAACCCAATCCTGCCATCTTCCGGATCATGGACCTTCACAAATGACTTCCCCCGAAACGAAGGCATCTTCCGGCATTGCCTTTCTCCAGCAGTTGCTGGCTCTCCCACGCACCGCACCCAACTCTCCGAGGCCGTCGCGAAGAAAAATCCAGGTCGGATACGCTTTGGCCAAGACCTTTTCAGGAGTGCGCGCGGGTTCGGGGGCGGAGGAGACAGTCAAATGGCACCGAAAGGACCCCCCTTTTTGGTCCATCTCAGCATCCATCAGCACCCCAAAAATGATCAATTGAGAAGGTACTTGGCAGCTGAAAAGAAAAACAACTCCTTTAGAAACCTCTGCGCCAAGGTCTCTCCCAAAGACGGGGGGCCGCCTCGAAGTCGCTGCGGATGGCTGCACAGGCGGCGGACCAAGAGGCCAAAAGCTCCAAGACCACCCACCTGGCATGTCAAAGTGGTGTCTTGTTTGTACGTTTGTAAATATGATTAAGATTGATTAAGTTATATTAAATATGTGTTCTGATTGTGTGTAAACCACTCGATGGTGAAGTTGCTTGAAAGTGGACAGCAGGGGGCTATGTGATTTTGTTTCCCCAGCCATGCCAACGAAGCTATGGGATTCAGCCGGAAGGGAATGTGGACGCAGATTCCTGTACCTGCTTTTTGGAACGGCCTTCCTTTCAAGCTCTCACTCCACTTATACAGGCTGCAGGTCATTAAGGCACGATGGTTAGACCTTGACGGGTGTCGCATATATGCATTGACTGTTGAGGTCGTAGACTCAGGAGGTCAACGGTTATGACATCATTCAAAAGCCTTTTCACCATAACTCTTCCCAGTGTGTGTGTGTGTGTTTGTTAAAAGGTTTTGGAGCCCGGTGTTTTGCCGCCTCAGCGGTCGGATGGCGCGGTTGAGGCGTGGATAGGGGGTCGTGGGGTGTACTTCGGGCTGCAAGTGGGGGTGCCAGCTCTAGCATGACATAGACTGGTTGTCAAGCAAAAGCGGCTAAATCCAGGGTGCTCCAGGATTTCAACTTATAAAAACATTAACAACTTACAGTACCACCTGAGTCACCAGACTCAAAAGCATTCAAGAGCAAAGAATCTCGCCCACCTCAACCCCAAAGCCTGGGTGGTGACTGTGTGTGTGCCCTATTTCGGGGAAGTCTTTTGATATCCCTTGGCGGCGACTCATCTGGGGCTTGCGAACCCTGGGGCCGCGATGGAGCTCCTGCTGCAACACATTTCAATCATTCGCGGATGATGCAGCTACCTTCATCTCAGATCCGGTTAAATGGCCCATCTCCACCTCGCTGACCCACGAGCTGTGCCCGGGGAAGGACGTTCGTCCAACTGTCGTCTCTAGTCCGTTCGCTCCATCGAGTTCCTCGTGGTTTGGCGCAACCGGACGCCATGAAACACATATTGATGTGTCAAACACCGGTTGCCAGAAAAATGAGAAAAGCGCTGAGGCTGAACACCGAACACCTCTGAACACCTCCTCACTCCGTTTGGGGTCGGTCGGCCTGCTGCCCAAGGTTTCCAGGATGCGATCTAACTCCTGGGAAGTCGGACCGAAGAAGGACTGAAGACAGTTGGCGAGTCTTCAGGCGAAGAAGGCAGGAGACTGCAGCTACTTTGCGGGACAGAAATGGAGAAAGTGATGCGGTATAGATCACTTATAGACATAGATCAAACAACCACTGCTAGATGTAACAACCACTGAGTCCATTGCTAGATGTAACTTCCGCTGAATCCCCGAAGACTCAGAACTCTCAAGCAGCTCAACCCTTTTCATCCGTCACGCTGCCTGTTCATGATGTAGCACCGTCACTAGTCCAGGGCAGGGCATATGTTCGGCCAGTGCTCCCTGGTGCGGGCGTCGAAGACCGGTCCAAATGAAGACCGGTGGGATGAAACCAATCTCCGTCAGCAGTCACTCGACCACTCACCGGTCCACCTGAAATCCCCGAAAGATCAAGGTGAATTCAACGAAATTCACCTGTTCACGTTTCGTATCCCCAATTCACCAAGAAAGATCGGCAAACAATCCTGGCAGCGTCTGGCAGCTGTTGCACGTCCGGAGTCAAGACAAACTACTATAGTGGAAATGAGTGGGTGGAGGTTCCTTGGTTTCAAACGACTTCATCAAAGGTGTGTGAGCGAACAGCACTGAAGACCAAGCCCGTTGCATCGCATTCCCAGACCTCACCTGTGCATCGGTTGCAGTCCTGGCGCGATCGCCACGGCCCACGCCCATCGACCAAGACCATCCAGCCTCTTCAAATGGAGATACACATGGCAGTGGGGTCAGTAGCTCCAAATCGGTGGACCTACCCTAGGGATCCATTCATACCTCCTCAGGTTCGGTATGACTGGACCCGACTGGCTGGCACCTACATGTCTCAGTGTCGAACACAGAAAACCGTACCTGAGGTATGAAAACGGATCCCTAGGGCTACCTAGTGGTCTTCTCTGCTCATGTCCGCTGCCGTCAACCAGGGAGACCGTTTCGACCTTCTGTCGAACAACATGCCCGTCTTCTGTCGAACAGTATGATGTCTGTCGAACACTGCCGTATGTCCTCCAACTTCCTTCAAATTCACTTGGAAAACTACCTTTAACATCTTCCTCTGCAAACAGTGCCTTTTCCACTTCGACATCTGTTGGGATGAGATTTCTGACACATGGGTTATAAAATTATGGTTTCAGGGGTGCAACCGATCGAGTTTCTGTTGGGCGCCTCGTGGGGCTCACGCTGGCAGGGCTCGCCTTCTCCTCCAAAGAAAGCGAGTCTGAACACATCTCAATCTACGAACAAATCGGCTCCAAGCAAAGCTCGTTCATGTAGGAGTAGTGAATGGCTCGAGCGCACCACTTTCCCTCACAATCCAAGGCGATGACTGATTGGCGAACCACAACTCGTGGTTCGGACTCAACAAATCACCCAGGGCGGCTCTCACCCTCAGCCCTGACCATTACTGATCGTGAGATCCAAAAAGAAAAATACCGCCAAGTGGGCGATCGCAGCGACAGGCCATCGCCTGCCATCCGCAAAAGTCCATTTAACGAGAAAGGTATATCCTATAATTAAGTTACCGTTGATATCCGTGAATGATGGCTAGTTAAAGATAGTTGAAGGCCTTTCTGTAAAGTAGTGATAATTGTTTAACAACTGTTAGAGGCAACGGGACAAGTCCAACATATAAGATCCAACAACCAACATAATATCCAATAACTTATCCAATAATATATTCCATCTCTGCTGGTCTCATCTCCTCTTCCGAAGGCTGTGGGAACTTGAACATGAGCCTGTCCAAGCACAAGTTAGAGGCGAGGCTGAGGACATAAAGAAATATCAAGCAAAACTGATGTCATGGATCTGACCATAGTTTTTGACGACTGCACTTCTCATTGCCACCTCGTCGTGGTCTTTGGCCAATTTCTTTCGGCACAGACGAGCGAGGCTCAAAAGACTAATGGTACAAGGTTTTGCTGAATGCCTGGTGTGTATTACGTGTTTCTCTAAACAAACGCCACATCGACATACTGTATATACATGTTGCTGGCATATGCCTTTTGAGAAGGAGTGGCCTGTAGCTTCATCATGTTTCGACGGAAGCCAGTCAATCCTCAATTCCTTGACAAAAAACAAAACCTACGAAATCCATGCAACGTGAATGGACAGATCTGTAGTTTCTGTGTAATTCCTGCTCCCTCCAAATACTTTTGGTTTTCCATGAAGATTCAGATCCTCTGTGGAAAAAATCTGAAAAAAGGAACACTCTCCAGAAGAACGTGATCCCCGTGTCATGAGGCTTGAGCCGATAAATCCACAGCGGTTGCCTCAGCATGATGCATGAATCTGAGACCAATCGAAGTGATCAGCCGGAAACAAAACATAGGTCGATTGACTGTATTACCGAAAACGCGCTCCGAGCTGATCTGTGTCAAATAACCTAAGGATGGTGGGTCTGCGGGAAACCGTAAGAAAACCACAACGCATGCCGCAAGCATCAACCCCACCCCCATGGGCACGGTTTGCTGTTATTCCACTCATTTGCCATGAAATACCTGGCGACGCGAGACACATGTTCCTGCTTGGGGGGCTTCTTGCAACATACACAAAGGGTATCACAGGATGGCGAGTAATAAACTATAAAATATTCAACCTTTCTCATTGCCCAACGCTGGATGACAGGCACCTAATTGAGTTGTCCTGCTTTGCTGTGACCAACAAAGACTTTCACAGATTCATATAGCTAGATTTAGATTATATAGATAAAAGTTGATCAAAGTCATCTTCAATCAAATTCCAAACCCAAGTAAAAAAAAAACTCTGTTGCTTTCACATCAATTTGATTTTCACATCCGTGCCTGTGCTCCTCGATCAAGCCATTCCGATTGTCCTCGAAGATGGTCTGAAGCTTCAAATGCCGTGTTCCTCCAGGGTACATCAAGTGACGTCCGAATATCTAGGATGAAGAAATGCCGCATTATACATCTGAGATTGAGATGGAGAATATATAGATCCCAGCATGTAACAAAGAAACTTTCACTGCAGGCCAACCCTTGCTTCGCAGCCTCTAAGGCACATGCCGAAGTCGATTTCACTGTACAAAAAAAACAAATCATATCGTTTCATCCTTAAAAAACAAAAAACAACGCAGCAACACGTTGAGAAGCTCCGGTCTGTCCCGGTCGCCGCCTTCGTCCGCGCCCGCGGCGAGGTAGGCCTTACTAACGGTCCCGGTGCGGTGTCCGTTCGCTTCGGAGGCCCAGGGTGCTGGGAACAGGGAACCATGCGACGCGGGGCACGGGTAACCAGCACAGCGGGGCTGGGTGTGGAATGGTCAAGACCCGCCGGCACGAGAGCAACACCTGGTTCTTATAGATGTTCTTGGATCATTTTGGCCAGTCCCATGTCCGAGCCTAACACAATGAAGCCAATCTTGCCGCTGGCGGGCTAGCAGCAGCAGCAGCAGCAGCAGCAGCAGCAGCATAATCTTGCTCCACGTAGATGAATACGGAATAGGGAGAATTGCCATTGTGACCCGGTTCACTCCAATGGTCGTTTTTACAGCTGTCTGGCGCCAGTCAGCTGGGCACCGAGAATTCTTCTACCCTTTAGAACTGGTTGATGAAAGCCCGGACCAACCGATGACCCTCCCTTGTAAGATGGACCACATGGGCCCCCCCAAAATCACCGTGCTGTAGAGGAACATGGTGAAAACCACCCCAAACACTCCATATATACTTCCATGTATGCCATATATATGGGCTATATACGCCAATCAGTTGGGGTGGTTTTGGGGGTCAATGGGTCAATGGGGGTCAATTTGGCAGTCCCATGGAGTGTTTGGGTCCATTCTCAGGGTTGGATCATCAAAGGGATCGGCACATCCCCACGATCCGATCCACAGCCTTGCATACAAAGTGGGACATCTTGAACTGAAAGCAGACCAGCGGTGCCTGCCAAACGTCACGGCGGAGATGAGGTGTGGAATGTGGAAGCACCATTTTTCAGGGAGCCCCGTCCCCGCGAGGTACACCAAGCTGCAGCAATCATCTTGATATTTAGAGAGCTGGCACCAGGTTGGTGCCAGCAGCGGTCTGAGCATGTCCGTCCATCCGGTGATGTTGTGGATCTTCACCAAAAAGTCACCACCCTGGTCAAATTGCTTGCTTGATGTTGCTTCTCTGTCTTCCCAAATCTTCCCTTGGGGGGCTCTTGCGCGTATCATTCTGAACCTGGAAGCATCTTGGAACCCCCATGCAGCAGTCACCTTCAGCATTCAAAACGTCGTCTGCTTTCGGGGACCTCTCTATCGATCGTCAATGCCGTCGATTCTCAGTAGCCCGTGAAAGATGTCATTCCCCCACGTTGATCTGCAAAATCCAGCAAGCTGTGGGTGTGCAGCTCAAGACATGGGAGACCAACACCCAGACGTTCCGACTTTCTGGGTTCGCTTCGGAAGTTATAGACCTATATAACCAGCCAGGGCAAGAGTTCGGAGGTCTCCCTATTTCGACCTTCTGGTGAAACTTCGACCGTCTGGTCTGCACTCTGCACCCCGCGGGCCTCTTCGCCAGGATTCAGCTGAAAGGGCCCCTCAATGCTCTCAGTGGTCACCCGCTCTGAGACCTCCCCAAGGGGGACAGGCTACCCTAGGATTCCAACCATCCTCTTGGGTTTGGAGGGTCCAACTATGTCCAAATACCTTCTACTTCATCTGTAGTACTTAGTTGGGGCCTTAGGGCTAAAACATTGAGATGTCTTGATTCACCAGCACATTCTCCAAGATTCCAAGATATGCTGCATGTGTGTCCGTTTTCATCTTTTTATCCAAGTTGAATGACTACATGACAGAATTACATCCAATGGTCCAATACGTGTCCTAACAGACATGCACTGAAATGTGGGGGTCACGAAGATCTGGCAAACCCTGGTCTCCACGTCAAGGAATCCTAATGCAGTCGAACAGTTTCTTTTTTGCTGTTATATAGCACAGGGCTCAATTCGCACCATCAGCGGTGCGTACATTGGGCCCCAGAACCCTTTTTTGGGTTCGTTCTTACCGGCGTTTTTACGCGCGTTGCGGATAGCCATAGTGGTTTGCTGCTTGGTGGTGGGGTTGGCAGCGGCGACTTGGTGCTGAATCGCAACTATACCAAGAGAAAAAAGCCCCAGCTGGCACCGGCGCCTACGCTCTCGTAGAGCAAAGGCAAGAGGACTAGTTCGGCAGGCCAAGAAGGCAACCCACCTGTCTAAGGACCTTCAAGGACGGCTCGTGAGGGCTCGACGCATTTTGCAGGAGCACCACAGTTTCGTTCGACCCATGGGATGGGGAGGTCAACACAAAGGAGCTCAAGGGAAGCCATGGTGGAGCAAATGGCAGCAGCAAGGGCAGCCGAAAGGCCCGAAGCCCAAAAAGGAAGCGAAGACAGACAAGAGTGCAAAGAAGAACGAAAAGGTAGAGGATGCCTTTCCGGCTTACGAGTCTTTGCAGTCATCCTCGTCTTCCTCTGCAGCCAAGGAATCCAAGGAAGTCCAGGAGATCAAAAAGGAAATGCGAGAATTCCTTGCAGCAAAGGACATCCCGGTGGATCCACACATTGTGGAACTACTACACAGCGACTCCAACACCATGGAAGAGATCAAGTCAGAACAGAGGAGCTTGAATCTCAAAAAGAAGATCATTGGGAGGATCGAAAAGTTGAAACAGAAGGTAGCCGAGAAGAAGGAGGCGTGGAGCATTTTTCTGGATGCAATGGAGGCTCATCGAAAGAAGGAGAAGGAGAAGCATGCTTCAGACTTGCTAGCTCTGGAAGACGCTCTCTCAGAAGCCCAGAAAGAGCTCAACAAAGTTGTGATGAAAGAAACAGATGGAGGAGACAACGTGGCAGTCGAGGATGCGGAGAAAGAAGCACTGAAGAGGGAGCTCGAGCGTACTCACGCTATCATGAGAAATCTTCAGCAACGGGTCGACAGCTATGTTGGGGCAATGGAGATGACGAGGCCGGAGGGAATGGCGAACGACCTTTCGCCTCAACTGACGAAGCCTCCGCAATCAATGTTGGCAAGAACTTTACCAGACGAAGTGGCCGCCAGAGCAGCTCGTGCCAAGTTGCTGACGGCAGCCGAGAAAGCGTTGAAGGAGCAGACATTTCCTGTTCCTGTACGCTCAAGGAGCACATCAAGGAGTCCCCGAAGAGAGCCCTCCAACTCCTTGGAGAGGCTCGACAGGTGAGAAGTCAAGCTTATACGCCTTCTTTCGATCTTAGTGGAAGCGAAAAGTCGGTCGGTGATGGATCAGACCATGGCTTGATGCAATATGAACTTCTCCTGGCGGGTGCTTTTGGCGCCGTTTTTCAAGGGGCGACATGCATTCAAGGGTTGAAGGGTATTCGAAACGGCATTTGGAAGGGTACAGAGGTCTGCCATTTGATTGCAACCGACCTTCATGAGCCTGTTTTCGAGTGGAATAGATTTCCGCAAGGCTGGGTGCCTACCGGAATCGAAAACCAGTCTTGGCTAGAAGAGTTCAATGGAACAGTTGCGGAGACATCTTTTCGGGACAGTCGATTGCATCTGAACCTTTTTGCGGGGGTAAGTACAATGTTTTTGTGCGCACTCTGCACTGCATTTGGACGAACATGTCCATTGATACATTCCTTGCTTTGGCGTCGACCCCTTAGGGGATTTGACCAAAGAAGCAAGCTCATCCAGTGGGTCCTTTTGGGGTTTGTTCTACTGGTTGCAATTCAAGTGGTGACGTGCCAAATACTAGTCAGCGGCGGTGTGCAT